CTTTTGAACTTAAGCTTTACACTATCTGAAAATAAGTTTGAGTTGTTCTTTCCATTTAAAAAATGATTCTATAGGGGTGTTTGATCATGACTGTATTTTGTGGATGTAGTAAGGTCTTTATAGAACCCTCAGTAAGATGTTTCTTTCAATATCTTTAGTCAAGGTGTATCATATAGTCATGGATTGTAACATGTTTAGCAATGTAAGGACAAAGTAGATGCATGAGTTATGGGAAGTAACTGAGTTTAGATTATTAAAACCTTAAAAAATGGTATTACTATGGATGTTGATTTTTTATGTGACTTGTAATGAAAGATGATGTTTTTCTTTTCGTTTTTTGTTTCACAAATGCAGATGTACTAATCCAAATGTACAATTTCATCATCAAGAGTGTTTGTAATGACAGTTCTTTGCTTTAACTTGCTTTTATGAAATACATACATACATGAAATACTTGATTGCACAATCACCACCAGTGTTTTGATTGATTTCCTGTAAGTTTTGCTGTCACTCTGACATACTGTCTTCTAACATGTACTAATCTCTTCCAGCACAAAGGAAGTGACAACATTGTGTCCGTCCCCTGGTAGAAGACAAAAGACATTGTGACAGGGGTGTGTATTGTCCTTTAAAATCCTTTTTGCCCGGGACAGGCAGCGTTGTTGAGCCAAGCCCTCAACAGGTGGCAGTGTGACCCCAGTGATCTTCTCAGCTGTCCTCACCACTCTCCTCAGTGCCATTCTGCCGGAGACAGTGCTGCTAGCATGCTGCAGAGAGATGCTGATGGTGAGCACACTGTCTATTTTTTTTTTTTTTGCAATAGTGGAGGTGTGTAAGGACCAGGTTGGACCAGGACCAGCTCAGGTTGTCAGATACATGCACCCCCAAGAATTTTACATGCTGCAAAATCTCCACAGCTGTGTCATTGATGTAAATTAGGGTGAGTGCAGGCCGATGTCTTCTGAAATCAATCACCAGTTCTTTGGGGTCTTTTTTTTTCAACATTTAGAGCCAGAGTGTTATTCTGGCTGACTTATACTTTTCAATAACCCTTTCAGAGATTTTCTTGGAGTGTTCTTTTGTCTTCATGGTGTAGTTATAGCCAGGAGTACTGATTCACCAGTGACAGGACCTTCCAGATCCAGGAGTCTTTATATTAGAATCACAGAGACACATTCACTGCACTCAGATGATCTCCATTTAACTGACTGTGTGACTTCAAGCACCAACTGGCTGCGACTGTGTTGTCACTTTTAAGGGAGTGAATACTTATGCAATCACATATTACATATTATCACATTTTATCTGAATTAATTGGCATTACTTTGTTGAAATTTGTTTTCACTTTGACATGAAAGAGTCTAAGAAATTTTTGTCAGAAAAGCCGATTTAAATAGATCATAATTCAATGTTGAAGAGCAACAAAAAGGGGAAAACCTCCAAAGGGGTGAAGACTTTTTATAAACACTGTATTTGAACCTGCAGTGCTATGATGTGCTACCCACAGGCCACACACACCACAGGAGTTCAGTAATACAGACATTCAACACATCTCTCAGCCAGCAAACCGATGCTTGCACTCACACAACTGCAACATGGTGTCAGTGTCACACTATTACAAACTACTGTGTTACAGTCAAAGCACAACATTGCTGCAGTCAAATTCCCGGTGATAACTACATCATCTTCTCACTGATGCAGTCTTGGCCAACCAGCTCCACTAGCTTTCTTTCTAAATAGTGCAGACTCGGGCCTGAGCAGCTTTGATCGCAGCCATGTGTGGTTTTCTCTCACACATGACGCTGTTTCATAACACAGCTAAGGCTTTCTCTAGTTGTCAGAGGAAATGCAAAAGTCAGAGCAAGGTGATGCAAAAGTAGTCCTCGAAGAAACTCAGCAGACTTCACCGTCAGCAACACCAACGGCAACTTATCACTTAGATTACTGCGATAACCTTTTAAAAAAAGCTGAAATCGTCTTGACTGTCAGTTTTGGCTTCACTGAGCTGTCGCACTCTCAGTTTCAGCGGAAACTGTCAATTCAAACAATAAAAACAAATGTTTCACTGAAGAAATCAGGCAGCACAGACTCCTAACCAGCTGCTGCTATGACTGCAGTGACTTCTGTTCATTTCAAAAAAGTCAACGAATACAAATTCTATCTACACTTGAAAGGGACATTTTCAGGATCATTTCTGTATGTTTCTGTTAAAAAACAAAATGTCTAATTAAGAATTCATATATTTAGTGTGGCAGTTGCGTAACAGGTGAAAAAGTGTAACCTTTAAGGGATAAGGAAACGCCCCAACACCAAATGTCAGTGAAGAGGAAAAAGGTGGTGAATCTGCTTCCTGTTGTCTTTGACACCTCATCTCATCTCATTTCTTTACTGATCACAAGACTCAAGGGAGCAGCAAAGGCTGTTGTAGATTCCATCACACGTACTTTAAAATAAAACCTTTATTGGTTCAGCTAAACACTTCGTTTATTCAAATTACATTATTTCAAAATGTGCCAATACTGATACTTTGCTATGGAGACAAAAGCTCACGAACAAAAGATAAAGAAAAGAATGGCAAACAAATCTTTCTCTTTGGTTGTTGTGGTTCCATGTTCCAGTGTGTTGACTTGATTGGATTTTAGTTTGTTCTTTTGTCATGATTTTGTAAAATCTCACGTTTAGATAATTGATGCTATACTGCACATTTGACACTGATGTTTTCACATTTGAGGTTTAATACTGTACTGTTGCCACCTACAAACACACACACTGTCATGGAGCTTTGGGTTTTTGGAGCTACCGTGGATCTAATTTCAGCATTTTACAAATATGAAGCAAAAAGGACAAAAGGGTCTTTTTTTCATCAGAAACTCCACATCAGCTACACTACTCTGCAAAGCCAGTCAAGCTCTTAGCCACTTGATGTCTGTTCTTCATTCGTGTCGTTTTTCTTCACTTCTTCTCTTCTCAAACGCTGACAAACACTAATCTGGCGGTGTAGGCCAGGTCGGCGAGGTAAAGCAGAAAATTGAGGGCAGTGAGCACAGCCGCGGCGATCACTTTAGGAGATTCCTGCCCTCTGTACCGGTAATGCTTATCGAACTGGAACACGGGCCAGATGATGGTAGCCGTCAAATACATGATAACAGCCAAGAGTCCGTATGCTGACAGGAACTTGGAGAACGGGATGGGCAGGCAGCCGGTGCACTCTCCCACACACAGCACCACCACAGCCATGGAGAGGATGAAGCAGATGCAGTAAACCGACATACACCACTTCAGTGCTGCATGGTGATCATAGGACACAGGGTCACTGACTAGGATGAAGATAACGCAGGCCACAAAGGTCTGGCACACTTTGAGTAAACCTGGAGCCGTCGCCATGTAACCCGCCACCTCTCCTGGCCTCGCTTTTGACAGGCTCACCTCCCCCATATAGGCCACTGCAGCCAGGCAGGAGAAGACCGTGGAGGCGATGCGATGGTCGCGAACCTCGCTGTGCAGCTGCTGGTCCTTGAGGAAAAACACAGGGAAGATGATGGATGCAGAGAGGCAGAGGAGGGCGGCATAGCAGGCGATCGTGATGGGGAAGTTGGACCAGGAGACGGGGACGCGGGGCTGGAGGCCACACTGCTCCACCAGCAGCACCACCAGGGTGCAGGCAAAGCTGAACGCCCAGCAGAAGATGCACCAGTCAGCCATGCCTCCATGGGGCAGGTAGGCTCCATGTGCTGCGACGCTGAACGCCACGCAGCTGAACAGCAGGGCGGCTACGCGTACCCATAGCAGCTGGGAAGTAGGGAACACCAGCAGTGGCATGATGGGATGTCACCGTTGGTCAGGGGCTGAACGTGAATTTTGTCGTCCACTAAGGGTTAGGAGGAGTCTAATACTGAATGTAAGATCCTGTGTCGGCTGCTTGTTACACACTCTGGAGACATTCGTCACATATTCTGCAGAAAGACAATAAATGTAATCAGAATATACGTAAGATACAAGAAATAAATGAATCATGTAGATGCAAAATGCAATCAAGGCATCACTCTGCAGTGTACATGTGAAATATGAACAACTTCTGCTGCCTGAGCTACAGCACTTCAACTTACTGCTTGAAATTCATGCAGCTCTGCATCCTTTAGCTCTATATATTCCATCATAAAGAACTCTTCTCAACTGTCTTATTTATGATCAAAAACATGCAATATTAGCATCAGAACTTTTCCATCTATAGGCAAATGGAGGCCCAGTGTTTTGAATAAAATGTCCTCTGAATTTCATCAGTGCCTGACATGTCCGGGCTTAAATTTAAGATGCGTAAAAACAAAGGAATGTATGAGGTTGGTGTTTGAGCTGTGAACTACGTACGGAAGAAGGTGAAGTTTGGCTGCTTAAGCTTAAAGGAGTTGGAAAGTCCCTCATCTAAAATAGAAGTCCTACATTTATGACTCCATCCAGTTTGACGCTGGTGCCCTCAAGTGTCCAAAGTGGGACAGGTTTTAATGGAAATCAAGTTTTAAATCATCTGTAAGTTTCCATCTAAGCAGTGAAAGTTTTCAGTGTTTACCAGAGAAGTAAACAGACCTGAGATCTGGTTTGGAGAGCAGTGACTTCAAATTTGACAAACTCTAGAATGAGGCAGCTTTTGCAGGAGACCTACATAAATAAGGATGATAAAATCTAGTTCCGTCCTTGAACTAGTCATGACTAGCCTGCATTCTCTATATAGGCAGAGATGTGCACCGTAGTTTGCAGTGAAAGTACTATGATAAACTGTTTTTTCATTGTACTTCGGCAGCTTGAGAATTTAAGGATATCTCCCCAATTATGGGTGACTGTGCAATCATTTTCCCTACCTCAAGGCTAGAACATGACTTATTCTGACATTAGATAAGCTAGTTATCCTTAGTTTTAGTACTAGCTGCTTTAAATCCTCCAAATTCTACTGTTGAGCCAAATCCCATATATTTATCAGATAAGACAAAATGTGCATGCTTGACTATTTTCATGCACAATGGCACAAAACCTGCAGAATGCATGCATGATTTAAATTAGCTGATAGAAACTGACTACAGGTCAGAACATCAAGCTTCTAACTTGATCTAGAAAGGCGACAAGAGCTGCTCTACAGGAGACGGGCATTGTGCATTGTTCATGAAGAAAAACATGCTCCTTCTCTCTGCCAAACCCTGGAAATTGCTAACTTCATTAGCCATTAACTCCAATGCTGCTCTTCCTGTTATGTGTAATGAGACTAATACACAGGAAGCAGATCTGCAGAGCTAAAAGCACGTCCACAGGAACACACACACTTAAATATACACTGCTAAAACAAACCAAAAAGGCACTTAATCACTTTTTCAGACAACATGGGAATCGAGCCAGGAGTTATAAAGAATTGCAGCTGTTTTTAGCAGCAATCTGAGGTAATCATACAAAGAAACTCGCACAACACAAGCTCACTTCCCTTGTCTTTGAGTTTCTGGTTAAAAACTACAAGTTGAAACACACAGATCATGGCTGAGCCCCCAGGTTTCTGGCTGAGAAAGAAGCAGCTGTGGTTGTGTGGTGAGTGTGGCTCCTTGCTGCTGACAGGAAACCAGGTTTTGGTTTTGCTCTTTTGGCTCTGCATACCATGCATACCTGTGAGTTGGGTCTTAACATGAGCAAATCAGGCCACTATTACTATTTACAGAGTAGCTGATCATTTACGCAGGCGTAAAATGAGGGTAAAGCAAACTTTTTAACCTGAAATCATCCAGCAGCCTCCTGTTATATCCTCGTTTAAGAGAGAGAGTTAGAGAGAGAAAGCTTCAAGCACACACACGAGTATTATAACAAAAATCAATAAGAGAGAAATGTAGTCGTAAGTGTGTAATCTGCAAAACAAACACATCTTAAATGGCATATTAAATGAGTACTGAAGAGGTTTTCCGTCCCGAATAGCGGACATACCGCGCCCTGTTCCAGAAATAGATCAAGATAAACTCCAGCAGCTAGCATCTACATGAAACCTTTATAACAAAATGAAAGAATAAGGATTGATCTTACCGATTGAAAGTATCGGAGTTATCGTTCATGCTTTCTTCATAAGTGTAAAGTTCCTGTAACGCCGTGCGTAATCGGCGGCGCATCCCCTTCTCTCATCCACAGCAGAATGTGTCCCACGCCCCACACAGGCCATATTTGGTAAAGTGTTGAAACCCTCTCCAGGCCCAGTAAGGTCAGTTCCTCTTCTCATGAATGTGATCATGCCTCAGTTAAAATAAATAAAATACCTGTAAACGTGCCATATTCCCATCACGTTATACACTAGATGTAAACAAGGATTAAATCTGCGTTCAGGTAGGAAGAGTGGGAACATCAGCAGACTAGAAAATCTTTTCATATATATATATATTTCCCCCCCTGCAGCAGGCAATGTTTGTTTTGTTTTGCCTCCCCGCCCGAAACATCGTTTACTACAATATTATCACAGTGTTGATGCATCAAGTATTACATGTTAGAACTGTATTTTCTTTGGATGCATTCAACTTGTCGCAGTTTTTCAGTCTACATACATGTCTCAAATATACATTAGAGTCAACTGAGGTATTAAATGTACATTTTAAACATTTGCTTTGCGATTGGATTGCATTCTGCAGTTTTAAACAAAAGAATTATAGTTGAAAAAAAAGCTATGTAGCCACGATTCAAATCGTGCAAAAGCCCTCATATATATATTACTGCTTTATTTGTGCTGTAATGTTCTGTGGAGAAATCTGCAAAACACATGCATTAGAGAGTGTTTGAAAACTTCCTGAAATTTTCCTTATCTGGACATAATTCTAAATGGATATCTTTTACTTGCGTATCCTCCTGAGACCCATCCTGTGCATTTATGTCCTCTGTAGTGGACATTTGTGTTTGATCTATATCTTTTGACTCATTATTTCCCTACAAAGTCCTGATGTGCTCAATAGAGGACTTCCTGGCATTTCCAAAGATATCTCATGCGTTTGGGTGGGATTAAGGGAACTTTGTTTTTATCCTGAGACAAAATGGAGACCGCAGAAAAACGCACGTTCTCCCCCTGGTTCTCAGGGGGATATTTTTGATATTAGTTTTAAAATAAATATTTTTCCAGTACACTGTCTGCAGTACATAGGTCTGCCCAGAGGAGGGCGCTGTTGGCGCTCCTGTTTGCACGGCTGATCTTTGAGGACATGGTGGTGGATCAGCAGCCAGTCAAGACAGCAAGATAACATCACAACACCAGACACCAGTATTGCAACAACTGGGACTAAAACGGCAATAAATGTGTGCAGCGAGGATCGCAGCTAAATGTGGATTTATGTGGCAAACCAGCGATAGGGAAGCAGATCCTGATTTATCACTGTGTTTTGGAAAGAAGACCTAAGGTGGAGCTCTACTGGAACCGTCCTGCCTCCCGGCTAGCCCGCTAACATGCAACTTTGTGTGTGAATTTGCACCAAAGCAGGACTATTTGGACTTACCGAGCTGGAATTTGCACGGACTCCCACCGTCCCTGTCGGTTTCGCATCTACCCATGCAGTTAAAGTCATGCTGGCCTTTCGTCTTGCAGACATAGCGGGTTAGCTAGCTAGCTAGCTAGCTCGTAGGCTCGTTGGCGCAGCTGGAAGCCGAACACACAGCGCTTTGGGCCGGCGTGAGCTTTAACGCCATGCCGCTGGTTGAAAGTGGCCCATTCGTAGTGCTGGCGTCAGCGAGCTAACGCTAGCTGAGCATAGCAGGCCGCTTCAGGTCGTCGGTAGCATTCCCTGGTAGGCTAATTAGATAAGTCACAACTCAAAGCGAGAAGCACCTTTAGCCTTGATTCTTCACTGTGCTTACTTTTTTATAAGCCCCAAAGGCTGGACTAGCTACGGTCAGGTAGCCTGCTAATTAGCTAGTTAGTTCGTTAGCGAATAACGTTAATGCAAAGCCATTTGTAGCGCCTGGTGTTGCTGTTGTTTACACTGTACTCGCGTGCAAATCTCTGCCAGTTACAGTAAGCTTGAAAGAGTGTTAAAGTGTTGTGGAAATGTCCTATTTTTTCCGTATCAATCTGAGGTACGTTGTTTTGTTCGCGGAGTAATTTGCACTAGCTAGCCAAAAACACAGCAGTACAGATAATATCGCTATCAAACATCACTGTGGTTAAATTTTCACATAAGCAGCATGAGAGACGTTAGCTTGTGTGGGAATTATTTAGGTTTTCACATGTGTAGTAAGCCCATGTAAACACGTCTGAGCGGTGAGAGGCTTTAGTTAGCATTTAATTACACGTTATTACTAAATATCATTCAGGTAATCCTGTGTTGATACCTGAAATTCAGTTATGCTATCTAAAGCAGTCACTTTTAAGTTATCTTTAATGAATTGTCTTTACACAGACACTACAAGACATGACTGTTGTTGACCTCCTGGAGCATAGCGAGACATATCAGCCATTCATTCATGATTGATGACCTTTGAGGAATCAGGCTGTCCTTTATCCTTTTCCGCCTCCAGCTAAACCACTGCATCAAACACTAACAGTCTTTGTGATAGTATTTATTTCTAACCACTAATGTAAACTAGCGATACTGGTGTGAGTATTTGCGTGTTAGTTTTAGCAGCACTTTCTTTGAAACATCCCACTGACGCCTCACTGGACACTGCTGGCGTGGATGGGAACATGAGGAGCATTTTGTCTGATCTGAACCAGCATCCGAGTAGCTTGAAGATCTGATCAAAGCACAACAGGAGCCCCATAGTGTGGACTGAGAACTGAAGAGGAAAGAGATGATGATGATGATGGTGGTGGTGGTTATAAAAGCTGCCCAGTGACAGTGTTGATCCCACACCCGGAAGCAGGAGTGTCACAAGGGTGCAGACATGAGTCTCCGCCAGCCCACCTCCACACTGGACAGGTATGAGTGTCCCAGACAGTACATCTCAGTGCTTTGCTAAAAAAAAAAAAGTAGCGCTCCAAGATAAGCCCATTGACGTGTCTTTATCAGACTGCCGTTCAGTCTGGTCACTGGAAGAACAAGTCAGACAGGTTGTTAACTTCAGGGATGATCAAACTGCCCCAAATTCTTATTTCAAAGCAACTTCAAACTAAAGATTTCACATTAATGTCCATGTAGTGAGATTAAGTCTACTCTTGTTGCTTGAGTGTGACATTGTGACCCTTCACCTGTCGTGTAGCATGACCTCTGACCTGCTGAAACACTTGATGTACTGTAGTTCATTGTGTTTGTTCCTGCTGTTCATCACCACATCGACAACTGTGTTCATCTGTGTGATGCGTCTTTGTCTTTATCATGTGTCTTTCCTGTCTCTCCTGCTGTCAACTGTTTCCCCCCCTCCCCGCTGTGTTCTTGTGTGTCTGCTACGTCTCCGCTACTGTATCTGTGCGTGTGTCATGTGACAGCAGGGCAGCCAATAAGAAAAACGCCCACCTGTTCAGGTACGACGGCTGCTGCCTGGTGATATTGTGGTTTTGGGGTTTTCGAGACCTACAGATTGTACAGCTGTGGCGGCAAATTTCTCAGTGGCTGCTCTTGTTTTTTTTCACAATGTTTTGTCTGAATTAGGCACCCAGAAAAAAAAAAAAACACAATTGTACATTTAAAAAATATATTATGTATATATTGCAGATGCATCATAACTCATCGTGATGCATTGATTCATCTTTATTCATACAAATCATATCAGAAAACCTAATTTTTATAATGGCATTGATGAAGAAACATATGATGAAGTCACATCATCTCCTACCCATTTAACATCAGCATTGATATTACTGTCAAATCTGTGGATTAGATTCATGCACTCTTATTAGCTTGCTTTAATTAATATGTACCAATTAATCCAGCTGAACTAATTGGGTTTTTCAGAGCAAATCTGTCTGCATTTGGATAATTTTGGTTGAATATGAAGTTAGAAAGAAGTGGTTATAGGGCTACATCTAAACTCCCCACCATTTTTTAATATTTATCTTAGTTTTGAAGGTAAAATCTTGCTTAAGTTCAAAACCCTCAAAAGTATTTCATACAAGGAGCAAATTATTACATTAAAGAACCAGTTTGACATAACAGTTATTGTTTTCTCCATGATCTTATCCCTTAATTGAAAATGTTTGTCAGCACTAATTCACTGTGTGAAGTACGAGGAGATTAATAGTTTCAGATCTGAGTTAGTCACAACAGATTGGTCTGGATTTAGTTTTTGTGTGAGTTGTTCTATTAGCCAACCGGTCTTTGAACCTCCTAAATAATACCATCTCACTTCAGTATTTACATATGTGTCCTTGCGTCACACACTTTTAAATAAATACATTCTTGGAAGTCATGGCTGCTTTCAGTGTTTACAATCTGTAAGAGTATAAAGGGCATGAGGGTGGTTTAAACAGTCTTTCCCCTCTTGGTCAGTTTCCCTGTATTCTTTGTTCTGAATCTCTTTTCTCTGTCTCCTCCTTCTCTTGACCTGTTTTTCCTCCTTTTCTGTCATGCTTCGCTTTCAGCCCTTTCGCTGCTTGGTGAGTTTTCCTGCCTTCTTGTTGCTTCCTATGCTATTTGTAAGCTCATCTTTTCACTGTTTTTTTCCCCCCCAACAACTCTGACCATGTGCCTCCACTGAATCTCCCTCTCTCCTTTCATTCTCGGCATTCCAATGTAAGCTTCCCTTCCTTCTCATGGGTCTGTTGCATCACTTTTCATTTCTTTCTCCTTCAGTGAGCCTCCCTTTCTTCATTTGTTATCTTCAGAGCTCCCCCTCTCCCACTGCAGCCAGCCTTCCCAGAGCGTTTGTCTAAATTGGCCTGTTTGGTATCATCTCATGCAAAGCCATTTTCTGTGTCTCGCCCCTCCAACGCAGGCTCAGCAGTCTGACAATCGGGGACTCGGAGCGCAAATCCTCTGCCACCCAGCAGAGAGAGCCGCCGGCAGACGTCATTGCTGAGAGTACAGGTAACTCTGACTTCCTGTGCTGGATTTATTTTTCTTCTTGTTTCTGGATTGATTTAGAATTTCGCAACGTTCTCTCTACTGTCCTGATCTCCCAGGTCCTGGTCTTGTCCAGAGATGTGTGGTCGTGCAAAAGGACCAGCTGGGTTTCGGCTTCACAGTGTGTGGAGAGAGAGTCAAGCTCGTGCAGAATGTCAGACCAGGTATGACACATGCAGATGTTTTTTTTTTTTTTTTAAATCTTATCTTTTATTTTCACATGAATGCTTTAACAAAGTGCCATTAGAAGTCTTTTTTTTTTTTAATGTCGCTTGACTCACTGGATGTAGTTTGCGGGCATAAGCTTGCTACTGGCTGCACATTTCAAACAGATTTTTACTCCCTTTCTGTTGTCTTCAAAACCCCCTTAACTACAGGAAACAACAACCACCTCAGGGCAGCGATCTACATGCTGAAAGTCTGGATCATGCAATAAGCAGCCGTGCTAATTTTTGGTTTTTCTTCTGTGAATTATCCATTTTAATGGTCTCCTTACATTCAGTTGTTCCACCAAAACAATTCCCAACATTTTGAGTGAACACCATCACCTCATGCTCTTCCTAACCCTGCCCAAGAGGATTGTGACTGCTTTAACGAAGCACAAACACACTAGAGTATTTTACAGCAAAATGATGTCGAGGTGCAGCCTGAACATTCTACACAATGCTGTGTCAGTGCTAGAGAATGGTCTGACTATGCTAGACTACTTTTTATGAGCTTTAAATATCCAAGCTGACAGATTTTAGAACACTGGCTAAAACTGGAAAAACATTTTTTCCAGGTATTGATAAATTTAAAAAGTGCAGAAAACCTCAAGAACCTGAAAACATGTTGATCCTAATTCATGCAGCTACACATTTTGTGGCTTCAGAAGTCAACTTTTAAATCACAAACTGCGACAGCCAATTATTCAGAAGATTATTTTTTAAATATAATCTTACGACGGAGTATTTTGGCCACATTAGGAAAAATATTTTTCCACAGACTTCGAGAATGAAGTCGTAACATTAAAGAATCTGTAAGAAAATGAATCTGTTTTGAAGAAGGAACCTTTGGAATAGATTCATTTTCTTGCAGATTCTTTTCAAAGTCCTGATACTAATGATAATGTGGTGCTGATGTGCCAAAAGATGAAGCATCTCCTGGTTTGTGAAACCGATGCCGAAGTACAACTTAATATGACGACTTTATTCTCGTATCCATCCATCCATCCATCTTCTCCCGCTAATCCGGAGTCGGGTCGCGGAGGCAGCAGCCTTAGCAAAGCCGCCCAGACTTCCCGATCCACACACACCTCCCCCAGCTCTTCCAGGGGGACCCCTAGGCATTCCCAGGCCAACTGGGAGACATAGTCCCTCCAGCGTGTCCTGGGTCTTCCCCGAGGTCTCCTCCCGGTGGGACGCGCCTGGAGCACCTCCCCAGGGAGGCGTCCAGGAGGCATCCGGAAAAGATGCCCGAGCCACCTCAACTGGCTCCTTTCGATGTGGAGGAGCAGCGGCTCTACTCCGAGCTCCTCCCGCGTGACTGAGCTCCTCACCCTATCTCTAAAGGAGCACCCAGCCACCCTGCGGAGGAAACTCATTTCGGCCGCTTGTATCCACGATCTCGTTCTTTCGGTCATTACCCAGATCTCATGACCATAGGTGAGGGTTGGGACGTAGATTGACCAGTAAATCGAGAGCTTTGCTGCCTTGCTCAGCTCTCTCTTCACCACGATGGTCCGGTACAGCGACCGCAATACTGTACTTTATTCTCGTAGTCTGTGGAAAAATCTTTTTCTTGCTGCGGCCCTCGTACTCCGTCGTATAATCTGAGCCAGATGACATTAAGAAGTTGTTTACAGCAGTGCCGAGGATGTTTAAGTTGAAATGTTTTCTGCATAATTCTCAGGTGGTGCAGCAGTGAAGGCCGGGGTCCAAGAAGGGGACAGAATCATAAAGGTTTTTACTACTTTCTGTTGCACTGAATCTGGACGTTATTGATATTTCTGTTGAGTGTTGCTGACTTTCCTCTTCTTCTGTCTTTGTCAGGTGAACGGCTCGTTGGTGTCCTCCATGTCACATCAGGAGGTGGTAAAGCTCATAAAATGTGAGTGTAAAATAAGATAAGGTGTTTGTAGCTGCTGTTGGACTATTTTGGTATTATTTGTGTTTTTACCTGATTCTGTGCTCTTGTATCCTTACCTAGCTGGAACATATGTGGCTCTGACACTACAAGGACCACCTCCATCAGCTGCCTCCTTGCCCTTGGAGCCCCTCCCCACTGACCTCACAACCAATCAAAGGACGTCTCTGGGTGGGGATGCCCCGCCCCCTCCGCCTCCACCTTTGCCCTCTGGACTCAGCAGCACACCCTCCCAAAGAATCACAGGACCCAAACCACTACAGGTGACTGAAACTGAATACAACATTGATATGAGCTGCGTTTGCATAATGTGTTGGGGGTTTTTTTCATCGTAGGAAAAGTTACTGGAAACAGTGAAATATTGTCCAGTTTTTATGTTCGCTTGAGGTGGCCTTTGACGTTCTTACAAAAAAGTGTTAATGCGCATTGTGGGAGACTTTGTTTTAAAGGAGTTCGAATATGTTTCTTTGTTTGCCTTTGGACAGCGTGAAGCATGTAGAAATGCAGCTGACGTGAAAGAATAATTTCAGGTTGCGAGATTGAAAACAGTCCCTGAAGACTTCTATACATTTTTTACTTGCTGTTGTCCTTTTTGTGTGATTTTAGCTGGTGGCAAACGGCTGGTTTTGTTTCAGACTTTATCTGCTCTGTGCATTACAGTGCAACGTCACCTATAATGCCACCTACTGATGACACTACGCAGTCTGGGTTATTCAAAACAAGCCAAATTTGTAATTTAAAAATAAAAATTGAAATGTTTTGTTGGCTAGCTGTTGTTTAGTTGACTCTCATTTTCAGTCAGTATGTATGAGTATTGAACAAAACACATGTTCAGTTTTAAAAATTACAATATGGAGGCAAAAATAAGTCTGTGGTAAATGTGTTTTTCAGGACCCGGAAGTACAAAAACATGCCACTCAGATACTCAGGAAAATGCTGGAGCAGGAAGAGGCGGAACTGCAGGTACGAATACTCACAAACACATGAACTGTCCCAATCGCGGCTTTACGTCTCAACCCTGACTGCACTTTTCTGTAGATGAAAGAAGAAAGCAGTGAATTTCCATGCAGTGATCCCTAACGTCTCGCATCACTTTATACTTACTGATTTGCAGGGCTTGATGGACGAGCAGTTGAGGAACCCGTCGCCATCACTGGAGGAGCGGATCGAAAGTGCCAAGAGAAGAGCTCACCAAGTCAGGGTCAAGATTCAGCAGGATCTGGTGAGGAGATCTGGTGGTTTGGGATCATTTACAGACTCTCTGTAGTCACATAGCTTTTTGTTTTGCCAGGTTACAGTGGAGAATGAAACAACAGGTTCAACATTTTTTTTTGGCAAAAAGAAAATACATAAAATGATGTGAAGTATTATTGGTCGTCTCACCTGTAGTCTTTTCCACTTGCTTGAGGCAGACAAAACCACAATAAACAGTAAAATGCATGTAACCAAACACGTCTGCTTCCCTCTATTGGTCCAAAAAAATCTATTAATTCACATGCAAGCATCTTTTATGTTTAAAGCTTTTGCTGAAAACTAATTAACACGTTGTTCTTCTTCTCTAGGAGGGAACACGATCAGAATCTGTCACAAGCTACGTCATAGCAGGAGAAGGTTTGTGTCTATATCTCGCTTTAAAGTTTAGTTTAATCTCTTCACCTCAACCGTTCTTACCAAACCTTTCTTTGCTTTCACAGGGCGACTATCACTGGACTCCAGTGAAGGAGACATGGAGGTAGGACAGTCTGGTCTTTACATGAACTGGTGAGATTGTGGGTTTGTGCATGTGATGGTCCCACTCATCCCCTTCGTCCTACCTCCCTTCCTTCCTCCCTTCCTTCTCCTCCTCCTCCTCCTCCTCCTCCTCCTCCTCCTCGTCCCCAGGCCTTTGAGAGTCCCCACTCCTCCCCCTCATTTTCCTTCAGGACCCCCCTACACCGACGGCAGAGCTCCGACACACACACCTTATCCGATTTGGTGAGACTGACACACGCACTTGCATTAATGCCCCTGTCAATAATAATAAATGACACAGTTGCTAGCTTCTTTTCACTACACAGGATTAAAGACTGAACTTAACAGTCAGAGAGGGTTTGAGCGTTAGGACAGCAAGCCAAAGCTGATCATGTTGCCGCTGCTGTATGTTCCCATGAGCCGAAACTGAAGTGAAACTGAGTACAGGTCATTGCTTCTGCTCACACTGGTATAAATAAATGCATGTACAGTATAAACACAGTATAATCATGTGAGAACCCACATGAAAAGAGAGGCCACACTGAAAGGCTTCACTTTCTGAATATTATGTCGCTCTAGTGGAGCAGAGTCAGTAACTGCATATAAGAGAACTCATCGCGCCACATGTTGGCTCAGTTTTCAGTTTACGCAAAAACCAGGCCTGCATTCTCAGCTGCTTATTTTGTGTCATTCGTTGTGCCATGCTGGCCCTGCAGGGCAACAACTACTGTTTCACGTGGAGATGTTGCTCTGCTCCCTCCTCTTTATTTGGCCCTTTCCTTTCCGACATGCACCGCTGTGATTTGCGTACCTGTTAAAAATGGAGGAGATAAGCAGTGAGAATTTATCACCACAATCTTCCGTTCATATTTCATGTCATTCAAGTCTTTAGTGCTGCATGCACATTTAATGAATGAATTCCTGTGTATGACTAAACGTTTTATGTTCTTGTGTGTGTATTTAAGGGTGGAAAGGCTCAGATCATCGGCCCGGAGGAGGAGGATGAAGAAGATGACGGCTATGCATTTAATGAGGTAATTTTCTCTTCTCTCTCCGTCTTAGTATTTTTTTTATCCCTTCACTGCCTCTTGCTGTTCCCTTCATTTACAGAACTAAGAAATTTTCCTCTTTTTCTCTGTCTTTCTCTTAGATGGACGGTCCGTTCCAGGATATTGAGTTGTTGAAATCACGACCAGCGCACATGACGGTCTTCATGAGATACGTCTTCACCCAGCTTCTGGACCCAAACCCTCTGGTCAGTGCAGACTTCAACAAATCTAGTGAAACATAGCATAAGGGTTTGCCTCTCACTCGTTTTCTTCACGTGATTTTTGACATTGATGACCTGTAATTTTGATCATTTAAGAATGAAAATAAGTTGCTATTTTTTTTGCAGACAATCCAAAGTCTTATCTATACTTGTGTGTCTTTGCAGTATCTTGACACTTAGCTAAACAAAAGCAGTGATTTTCAACATTTCCACGCATATAACTTTCTTCCATTCATGGTTGTTTTTGTATTTTCGTGTTCCCAATAGCTGTTTTACCTGTCAGTAGAGGCGTATCTGGGCTCCAGTCCTAAAGACGCCCGCGCACTTGCACCTCAGATCTGCTCCCATTTCCTGGATCCAGATGCTGTACGTACAAATATACAAGAGGAATTTTAATCTTACATGTCTCTAAAAATTTTATCCTAGCATTTACTGGTATCTTTGTTGTGGATAACAGAAACTGTCTTCTGATTCACGGTTAACAAGTGATCTGGTTTTTATCATATAAAGAGAGTAGTTTAACGTACATTATGGTTACAGTTAGAAAACACGGAGGCGTTTAATGAGCAGATGTTCATATGGAAGCATTAAAGTATCAACATAAAAACTTTCTTTTTCCCCTTGTAGCCCCTGAAAATCAAAGTACGAGAGGAGTATCTCACAGACATAGGTAAGACTGTTACTGTGGGCTTCCCTCATTTGTTTTTCATTGTCATATTTGTCTTTATGCCTCCAATCACAGAAAGTGTGTAGTCTTCTTTCATCTGAAACTAAAACTATCAACTGGAAATTGGAGTTATAACTGATTGAGTCAATGGTTCAGCTACATGACTGTATTATCGATCTACTATATTAGTTGTTACTCAGGTGCATCCACTGATGTATATTTAATTATCTCTTCAGAAAATCGACTTCATGCCCAAGAGGACATCAGGGGGCCTCTGTCTGAGCTGCAGCAGCAAGTGCTGCCAGACATCCAGTACCAGATTCAAGACTACAGGTACATTACTCAAGACATCTTTTTTTGTTTTGTTCAATTATGAGATTAACAAACATTATTACTGAGAGCGACTCAATGACAGGTTGAACGTGTATTTGTTGTTGTTATGCTACATCCTAGTGTGCTTGGAGGACTCGGAGAGCTGCGCCTATATATTCTGCTCATGCACACTGCTGCCCTTATAGCGCTGCATGAGCACAGATGTTTAGCTGGCAAATGTTTTTAGTTTTTACGTAATGCATACTCTGCTAAAGTATAACCTTTGACAGAATAATAACCACTAAGATCACTTTTGACAGAACTGTCATATTCTGGAGCTCATATTAACCCAATTAGCTTTGCTTTTATGTGTTTTAGGAACAAGCAGATGATGGGTCTTGGCTCTCTGTTTGGAGAAGGAGACCTGCAGCACCTTGATGGAGACCCAGTGAAAGAGAAACAAGTAGTGGACAGACAGGTCACCGCCCTCTGGGAGATATTGTGAGTCTGTGACTTATTCAGATACTACCGTCATATAATGCTACTCCTTTTGCCAAATACTGCAAAGGTTACTGGTGAGGGTGCTGGTTCATTCTCTGAACATGTTCACTCACCTTTATTTGTTCTTAGCAGCCTAAATACAAATTAACTAATTATCCACAGGTTTACTGCAACATATGTCTGCGTTACCACACACGCTACGACTGTTAAACCAGGTTTGCCTAGCAACGGGATCGTTTGTTAGAGGCCCAATAAAATTGTTATTACAAAGTGACAGAAGGAGCCTCCGAAGCTATCATAGCAAAGGTCATTACCCCAGCTGCAAACCCTGGAAACCACATGACAGCTACTCCTTTGACTTTATACACACACAGGCCGATTCCCGTCACATGACTGTGACTCTGCGCACTGTTTCTTACGCTGGTGTTTGCACCTGAATTAACTGGATTTAACTTTGAGGAATTAAGCTGGATCTCTCTTTGAAAGACGGTGATTTGCTGCACAGGGAGTTAACAACCTTTTTATGTCTTTCTGTTTGTTCCTGCTCCAGATCAAAGCATGAAGAAGACAGAAGGTAAAAGAAGCATTGCGTCTTTTGGAGTGAAATATAATTCACCAGCAACACCTGTTTGAGCAATTTGCTAACTTTATCTTCGCATTTTGCTTTGCTTGTTTACCGTCGTTCCCCTTCTGGTCTAATCTCTGGTCTGCTTCTCCCCATGTTTGTTCTCCACCCCTTCACTCCTTTGTTTCAGCTCTCCTCTGGCATCAGCTGTACTGCTATACCTTCGTCATTCTGGCATCAAGCTCAGAGACTCCAAAGTCTTCCCTGGTCTGAGTACAGAGAAGGAGAAGTGGCTCGCTTTCTTGAAGACGAAAAAGGTAAGAATTGAAAGTGCCCTCTGCAGGTCTAAAAATACACATCTGTTATGTTTAAACTACAAATGTAATCGCAGCTCTAAACATGCAGTTCGATTTGTGTTCATACAACCTATTGGAGTGTCTTGTCTCCCACTTTAACTCTGGGTGTCTTTATAACCAGGAGTATTAAGGATAAAAAGGTTCAGGTTGTTCTAACTCAGTTTCCATGTTTTTGAGAAACTCACAGAAGGTTGACTGCTCCTTAGAACTGTGTACATATCCACATTCAAAGAGGCTCAAATGAAATGATTTCTGTGTCATTACTTTCAAATTGTGAACCAAATTCTAATTTGACACCATCTTTAGAGCAGGAAGTCTGGCTAAACAAAATGCACCAGTACAGATAATAAAATACACGCGAAAATTTCCAAGCTAAATGGAAATAAGACACATGGTAATTTTATGGTTCCTCTGTTCACAGCTGAGCGGCACCAAGAAAGAAAAAGATGGAGAGGATAAAAAGAGAAATCCCATCCTGAAGTACATCGGCAAACCCCGGGCCACATCCCAGTCAAGTAAATTTAAGCAAACACACACATTTAAGCACAGAAGAAGAAAAATAAAAACTTAGAGTAAATCATGACTCGTAACACTGACTTCATTTAGGTGTATTTTTAGCGCTCTGTAAATAATTTTTATAACCTGACATCTAAACCCAGTTCATGGTCAAAATCCTAGAATGCTAAGATAATCATCACCCTTCATTGTCATTATTTAAAATCCACGTTATTAGCTGATGGTATTGATACACTGACTCTCCACACCAGAAGCACACTAACACACACACACACACACACACACACACGTGATGTTCTCATTCATTGTATTTGTCAGACAGTATTGATTTCTTTTTGTCCTTTGTTTGCCCTTCAATTGCTTTTCCAGATTTTATTTATTGATTTATGGAATTTTCATTGTGTCTTGTCATTCTGATTTCGTTGTTTCCTTTTGGTTCATTTTGTTGTTGTAGCATTCCATGTCCCGTTGTCACCCACCGAAGGTACAGATTTTTTGTCACTGCAATTTCTGTTTGTGCTCGTCGGTTAATTTTTGCTTTTCAACTATTTGAGTTATTTTATACGCATCACCCTTGTCTGTGTGATAGTGTATGCGTGCCATTCCATCATTAAGTGATACCTGTGTGTGTGCAGTCCGTCCTGGCAGCGTGAGGAACATCATTCAGCAGTTTGAGAATAACACGGACACGCCCGGAGAGGAGGGTGGTGACGCTGCAGACCCACAGAGGCTCTCCTCCAGCAGCCTGGGAGACGACAGCATGGAGAGGTAGATGTTAAACCTCTTCAGCTATATCACCACCTGCAGGATGTATTCAGAATCGGAGTCACTGGTTTCATAAAATACTGTTTTTTTGTGCTCTCTCTACCAGCCCTACGGTGTCAGTGCGTCTGGCACGTAGCGAGTCGCTGAAGGCTCAGGGGGAAGGCCGTCGGCGGGGCGTCGCCTCAGGGACTGAGTCTGTCCCTCGCTCTCGTAGCGACGTGGACATGGAGGACTGTGGGGAGGAGAGGGAAGGGCCAGGCCTCAGGCCGCTGCAGCACAGCGCCTCATCATCGGCGTCCAGCAGCTCTGCTCGGTAAAGAGTCACTCAACCAAACTTCTCAGGGTGTTTCCGTTGACTTCTGGAAACAGAAGCTCTTCCAATTCTGCAGAGTTGACCCTCAGATACTGGAATGTTTACGAACTTAGATTAAAAAAACTTTGAGGAAACAAAAGTCCCTCCTGTAGTGAAGGTTGTAGACCCCCTACCATTACTCCTAGAAGTTTTCACCTCATGCCATCTCTTTCTCCACTCTCTCAAACTCAGGTCTCTAGAGAACCCTACACCCCCATACACCCCTCGGTCTAGACGCAGGTGAGTTGTCTTGTTGTCCCCCTGGAAGACTGATGATGGATGACCAATAATTACCTGTCAAGTAAGAAATAGAAGTTTCACAGTTTAGGTTTCTCCATAATGTTTGGGGAACTTCAGTGAGAGTTAGTGGTTTGTAATATCTACATTGATTTAAAAAGCCCAAATGTAAAGTCTGGTCTGAAAATGCAGGTACATATATAATCATGATTTAACAGTTATTGTTATTGTCTCCTTGTTGTGTCTTTATCCACATCCACGCATCTGTTTTCTGCCACTGTCTGGCCATCACTCCTTCTGTCTGTGTGCATGTTGTTCCATGTCCTCTCCTTGTGTTGATGTGCAGGAGCATGGACTCACCGCTGGCCCTGCTGCCGGACGCTGCAGTGCTGGAGGACGATGTGTGCGACGGTCAGAACTGGCAGGACACAGTTCCTCCTCAGCTCCTGGCAACGCTCAGCCCGAGAGAGGTGGACAGACAGGCTGTCATATATGGTACGGCTTAATCTCAAAACACACATGTGACAGGAAGGGTTTTGATTATCATTTACCTCAAAGGATCAGCAGATTGAGTGGTGGAGAGTGACGTTCTTCTCTTCCTCCTCTTCAGAGCTGTTCACCACTGAGGCATCCCACCTGCGAACCTTACGGGTCCTGGACCAGGTTTTTTTCCAGAAGATGAGATCTGTGCTGAACTCTGAGGAGCTGGCATGCATCTTCCCGAACCTGCACCAGGTCTACGAACTCCACGGTCAGTCTGCGAGGGAATGTGTGTGTGTGTCATCGAGATAAACAAAGCATGTGTAATTTTCAGATGTGGATTAATGTTTTCTCTCAAATTAATATCTTCTTCATAATAAATACAGCAGAACTGTTTTTTTCCCTTGTAAGAGCGTCCCTGCTTTTTGCATTTTGTGGCCGTGTTTCTGTTTGCACAATAGAATGAGTTGTACTTTGAGTCAATGTGTGTTCTGGGCTGTATGTTGCTTAGTAAATAATAATAAGTCATGCAAATACTAAGTAAAGGTCATAACTGTTTAGTCTAATCTCAGCCTGCAGCTTCACAGAGTCAATATGTATTCTGAGTGTTAGTTTTGAGCCATGGAGGCATACTGTGTCACATTACACCCTATTTCACCAGTAAATAGTGTTTTCATGTACCATAAAACTGGCTTCAGGCGTCTCTTTAGGGCTGCAGTGTCCTGGTCAGTATGCTCTAATATACTTTATTATGCTTTAATTAATTTTTGGAGGCAAAAGCACCTTCTAACACCACTGCGTTTTTAGAACTTTGAACTCGCCTAACCTGATGGAGGCTACTGCAAGGTCTAACTCATTTACTGAACGTTTCCCTGAATCTGTATCTGGCCAGAAAGTTTGCAAGCTGCAGTTTGCATATCAGCACTCAACAACAGCTCCTCAAAAGTTTTAGTGCTGGGATCACGAGTTGGCATAGTTCAATTAAATCATTTTAATATGAGCAACTCCACGCTGGTGTGCTGGAAATGTGTTGTTATTTTTCCATTTTAATAAAATAATTAGGTTAAAATTGATTTAATATCCCGCAAATAGAAGCTTTTTATGTTTATTTATAATTTATTTAGGCTAAAAAGGCTAGCAGAGAGAGCTAGAGCTTAGATTTATGTCGACCAAGAGTTTCTTTCTTTATTTTTTTTTTGCGTAATCTTAATAAAGTTATTTTGCATTGAGCTTTGCGTTCTTTTATATCTGCATGAATATCATTTGTGCGTCACTTCTTTGCAGCAAGTCTGTGTGAGGCAATGAAGAAGCGAAGAGAAACTCCTATTGTTCAGGACATCGGGGATGTGATGCTGGCCAGGGTGAGCTTAGTATCCGTCTCATCTTGTCTTGTTGTAACGTGACAAGGATCAAGGTGCAGGTTATTTAGCGTGTTAACAGCTGCTGTGTGGTTCTAGTTCGAAGGTGCAGCTGGAGACGAGTTTCAGGAAAAAGCGTCCCAGCTGTGCTGCCAGCAGTCTCAGGCTCGGGAGCTCATCAAAAACAAACGGCGTAAAGACCCACGCTTTGCTCATATTATCCAGGTACACACACACACCTGGCAAAACACATTCAATGTTCATGTATACTTTCATGATTGTTGTGGCTACGTTTGTTTTGCAGTGATTTCTGTCGTCATTTTTGCATTTCTCCTGGAGCTTTTGAGTTCTTGCTTCTCTGGTTATAATGTACTTATCACTAGACGTCTGAGGAGGAATTGCATTTTTTCTGTTCCTCTTTATCACGAAGTGTGTTTGCTGTATGTGTGCTTTACCTTTATCGTTAAACAGCCATGTTTTTGTCCTTGCTTGGCTCTTTTTCAGGAGTGTGAGGCGAGTCCTCTCTGTCGGAGGCTGCAGCTTAAAGACCTTCTGGTGTCAGAGATGCAGAGGCTCACCAAGTATCCTCTGCTGCTGGACAACATCATCAAACACACAGAGGGTGAGGAATCAGGAGATACACAGTAAAATAAGCAACAACAGATGCCAAGAAACATGACAAAAAAGTGTTATTTCTGAAGAAACGTGCTCTTGTTTGTACCTTTAGCTGCTTCATCGGACCTCCCCTCACTTCAGCGTGCACAGGCTTGTTGCCGAGGGATACTGCAAGCTGTCAATGAGGACGTCAGGGAAACAGAACACCGGCAACGCCTCAGTCAGTACCAACGCAGACTGGATGCTGCGCCTCAATTCAAGGTGACCGAACAGTTTAGTTTAGTTGTTTTAACCCTCTGAAACCCATTTTCTTGCTCTTGTCGCATTTTTTTTTACTCAATGTGGGTTATTTTGTACTGCAATATAAAGTTGTGCACCTCTATGGAAACAGAACAACCATGAAGAAGGAGAGAGAACTAAAAAAATGTCCTTTGTGCTCAGTGTGATACTGCCATCATTTCTTTCATTTTTAATTTAAACTTAAAAAAACAAACAAAAAACTGGACTCAACAAGTACAACATTCTTGCTTTCTTGTTACTAGTACTGTAAAAAAAAAGAAAATGGTACTCTACAAACACTACATATGCTACCTCTTCTCTACACTTTTATTTGTACTTGTCTCCTCTCTGCTCTGCAGTTTAGCCCATGGAGCACTGAATTATGAGTCTGTTTTGTTGTACAGAATCTGGTGACTGTAAATGTTTTATTTTGGCACATTTTAAAACAAAAATGAAGTAACTGTGATAAAAATATAGCTGTATTTAGCTTAGATTTGGTTGTTTTTCCCCAACAAAACCAAAAGACACACATGATCCAAAGAACTTTCAAAAGTTGAGAATCTGATGCTTTTTCCAGTTTTTGGCTCTGAAATTTCTTTTTTAAAGCAACATGCTGGCAGGTTTTGCCTTTAATAAAGTTTGCTGATTATTTTTTGCTAACTTACATTTGATTAATTTTGCTCTTCTCTTGAACAGAGTCTGGATCTCACCACAAAGAGAATGATCCATGAAGGTCCTCTCACCTGGAAGATTAGCAAAGACAAGCAGATCGGTCGGTACAGTTGTGGCAACATGAGCTGTCTCATCACTTTGGTTTTGCACCTTTTAATCACATCTCTCTGTATTCCTCTGACAGAGATCCAGGCGCTGCTGCTGTCAGACTGGCTGGTCCTCCTCCAGAGGGGCCCAGACGATCGGCTGCAGCTGCGATATCCATCCCGCTGGTTGGGGGGAGGCGGAGGAGGCAGTGGAGACAGCAAGACCTCCTTTAGCCCTCTGGTGAAGCTGGATTCGCTGCTCGTTCGCCCAGTAGCTACAGGTACAAGTTTCTACAAGCAAATTTTCAAATTGGAGTTTTTCCCCCTGATTAAATGTCCATGGTTTCTCTCCAGACAACAAAGCCCTGTACGTCATCAGCACCACAGAGAGGCAGATCTATGAACTGGTGGCTGGAACATCGTCAGAGAAAAACACGTAGGCCTTTTCTGTGACTAGTATTTCAACTAGGAAGGCACTTTGAACAGTCATGATGTGTTAACTTTTGATTTTTGTTTCACAGCTGGAAAGATTTACTTGAAAAGACCATCTCTTCTGCTGGTGGTTCATCGCCTCTGATCAATCATGGGTCAATGCCTATATCGTAAGTAAACTTGGTTCATCTGTCACAAATGGAGGATCGTTTCTTTAATAAGAAGCTCACTTGAATTCCTTTAAATACATGTTATGCATTATTCTGCTAGATATCTTCTTTATTTTCATCCGAATAGAAATTTGAAGAATCTCAAGAAGTCATGCTTGCCGTGTGTTGTTTTCAATTTCCTGCAGCTCTCCCAGTATGCGCAGTGCATCCCCAGTCTCGACGGGCAGCAACGTCTATGGAGGTAATAATCGTGATTATAATCAACAGAGTGGAACATGTAAACAGTATCCGAATGTTTTGACATAGTGTTAATCTTAGGGCTGAGTCACCTTTCTCCATCTGTTTGAAATCTTCCAGACAACTCTATGACGGAGCAGTCAGATTCCATGGAGACGCATTCCTCCAATGACGACGTCGCGCTCTCGGATAACACGCCTACGGACCAATCAGAAGCTTTCATCTGCGGTGAGAGACAAGCAGTCGGTGTGGCAGAGGCCGCTTTACAAGACGGTGAGAAGAGAGCAGAAATTCTACAAGCACTCATGACAGAAATGATTTTTTTGTTTTCGTTTTTATTTTGTTTAAGCGAGTCTTACACAAAACAAAAAAAGAGAAAGAAGCCCTGTTATCTTGAATGTTTTGTAATTGCCATTAATCAACCTGCTTTCCTCAGTTGAAACACTACGGCAGCTCATATTACGAGATTTTGAAGAGGACGGTTGGAGCCACGACTCGGACGATACACCCACCAACGAGACGGCCAATGAAAGAAGCTCATTCACTGAAAGGCAGCGGCCGGAGTCTCTGGAGACTGTCCTCAACTTCAGCACCAATGAATGGGAGGCTGAGCCGGAAGAGGCTCTGCTCCCAGACGCTGGGCCGCCCAGTGTTCAGGTTGTGAGGAAAGGTAACGGATCTCATTGAGAAATGTTTCATTCCTCATCAAGGTTGGCTGCTCACTCTGACTCCAGTCACTTCCTCAAATAATTACAAATTTCAAACCGCTGAATCCAAATGAGTCACTTTAAACGCATCATCGTTTCCTATCAGATTCATATTTAGTGTAACTGAATAAAAGGGGACTTCAGCTGATTTGTTTTTGAATAATGCTGCCTTCCTTTGCATGTTTTCGCCGCATTCTCTTAACTTTTTCTTTTATTTATTTATTTTTTTACTTACACACTTCATCTCGGAATGCCACAATGACACACTTATTTCTCAACTCTTCACTCTTGGACACTCTTCAACGCACTCTTCTTTGTCACACATCTATCCTCTGTGCATAGCTATGGTTGCGGGTTCTTCTTCTTCTGTCCCTGATGGCATCACTGATGATGTCACCCTCCCCTCCAATCAATCATCCAAGTCAAGAGGCGAAGCCAAAGCGCAGGGTAATGCTGGCCAAACCGGTCAAGAGCTGTACATGTTGTCAGAGTAGATGTCGAACATATCTAGCTTCAGAGATGGTGTCGATTTTACCCTTGAACTCACTCACCGACACACTTTGTGGCTTGTTGTCACATCTCTGTGCTTTAGGGAACACTTTCTACTTGGTAATGCCGACAGAGCAGGGGGAGACTGCCACTGACGATCTCAACGACCCTCCCACCCCCACCGCCAGCCACTTCCCTCAGTCCCTGGAGGAAGCGATGTCACCACAGCCAGAGGAGGAAGCGCCGGCCTGCGCTCCAGCGTCCAACCAATCAGAGGCTATGCAACCGGAGCAGGGAGAAGAAACGGGCCAGTCGCAGGCTGGGCAACAGAGTCACGTGATCAAAAATGTGGATGAGATTTTTCACACGATTGAGGGGTTGATGAACAAGTTGCGGCAGCTAAAGGTGAGTCAGCACTTCCTGTTACATTCTGTCAATATCTAATCATGGTCCGCTAGCTAGCTATCCTGTGTTCATACGCAGCTCTGGCTCTTTAAAAAGTTGTTTGACCAATATAACAATGTTCCAGCGTCATCCAAAAGACACAGGCAGAGGGAGGGAATTGGGGAGAAAAGGGGGCAGTGATAGCAAAAGGGATGGGGAATCTGGCACATGCTTTCCTAAATATGCAAACTAGCTACATATGAACAGACTCCACCTTCAAGTTACCAATAAAAGAGCAGCAAACTCTCCGTCATTAGGTTTACATCAAACAGCCCCCACTCACAATACATTTCTGAGTAGATGAGGGAGCTTCACGTTTTAGGAAATGCACTTTCACGTCTGTCCAATCTGAATAAAACAGCAGCTGGTCAGGTCATCTTAGCATTAAGACTGGAAGCAGGTGGAAACAGCTGGCTCCACTTGGTCTAAAGGTTAACAAATTAGCAGCACTTCTGAAGCGCACGACAAAACACATGATACGTCTTTTATATATATAAGCCTTGGAGTGTCTGCTTCTATCTGTGCTTGTTCAGAGAGCTGCAAATGTTGACGTCCTAATCATGTAATGAGTTTGCTTGTTTTTTTGTATTTTCACCCCTTTACAGGAAATAGAAAGTGCCCATCACAAGCTCCTAGAAACCCTCAGAGAACCATCCGTCTGTCAGGAGTCAGAGGACCAACTGTGTCGCTCTGCAACCGTCTCCAGGACGCCCTCTCTGGAACGTAGCTCAGTGGACGGTGAGTGGAATTTGCGTCCTACACCTTTACAAGATAATGCAGCTTCAGTTCTTTTGCACACTAAATAAAATTTTTTTCTTTGAATCCAACTAGGCAAAGACGGCAGTCCGGCAGATCCCAAAATTCTGTCAACTGGATTCTGATGTCACTGCACAGTAGATTTACTTGCAGTCACTCAATCTGCACTGTTGGCATACAGACATACCAATACATACCTACTGTCAGACCTGGGCCTCCCCTCGCCCTTTGTTCCCCCTCACACCAACCAGTGGCGCAGAACCCTGGAAAGATCATCACATTTAATCTTTTAGTTTCTGTTGCCCTTGGAGACCAGGAAAGTGGTCAGACTCACCGAGGTTTCTGAGGTCAGCACAGCCTCTGACTTCTGCCGGAGCACGAGGGAGTCCAGGGAAACGGAGGAACAAGTATGAAGGATCAAAAAGACTGAAGACAAGTTGAAGAGAAATGGAAAAAGTTGGAAGAACTGGAAAGTATAAAAATGACCAAGTTGGATATTTTGTGAAGGAACATGACTTGTATGTAGCTTTTAAGAGCTGGTTGAAGGAACGGAACAGAAAAGTGTTGAAATGTTAATTTAAGGAAAAAGAAAAAAAAAAAAACCCGAGGGACCCATCACCCCAGCACTTTACCCACAATGCATCTCTCTGTCGTGTACGTCCTCTACAGCGGACAGATCAGGGACTGGAGGATTCAGGCGTCATTTAAAGGGGGTGATGCTTGAGCCAAGATGGCCTAAGGGGGTCCCCTCCCCCCTCCACTGGTTGCTTTACACTGATCTCACCTGCCACCTCGGCCGAAGGACTGTGTCTATATAATTCAGGTTATTTGCACTGGGTAAGGACAAAGTATCACACACACACACGAGCATCGTTTGACTGGCTCGTTCATCTCAAACATTCACTGTGGAAGAAAGCTCATTTTTGCTCATATGCTTAAAGCCTCCTTTTAAGCTACAAGAAGGCCGTTCATCGGTGCAACGTATTGACCCTCACAAGGTTGATTGTACAGTTTGACATTTTGGAAACACTACTGCGCTGTTTACTACTGAGAAATGCTGGCAGGTTTTATTTAAAGCGCTGCTTCACAAGCGTAACAGGGATTCATATACCAAGCTCAGCGGATTCACGACAGCTGTTCTGATCATGTGAAGTTGCTTAGGTTCAACGTTTTGGGAAGCTTTGGGGAAAGAGTCAAAGACGGGCAATGTTGAGCGTGAGGAAACGGCAAGTACACATTCAAATTTAGAAACTTGAATTTTCAGTGAAAACCTGTTGGTTGCTCACACTGCTGCCAAATACGGCACTGACATTGCCTGTCTACACTTTAAGGTGAAACTGTGCATCCCTCAGCCCTCTCCAGTGTGTCCTGTAAATGTGTAGTGAATTCCACGGTAGCTACTGTGAACCAGCAACTTCTCCCCACCTCTCATCCAATAATCTTCCCATGCATAGTGTTTATATCTTCCTTGCCTACATCCAAAGCCATGAAGGGACTGCACTCTGTACCAAGTAGTTTTCCCAGTCAGACGTTCTGTTTAGCGGGAGAAATGACAAGCTTTGAAAAAAAAATTGGTCGATTCTTTGGGAAATGCGCTCGCTTTCTTGCCTTGCCAGCCGCTTAGCAGAGCTTAGCATAACCGGACACTGATCCTGTGCAAAAGAAGTGCAGTCCACCTGCCAGCACCTCTGAAGCTCAATGTAATTAACACTTCATATCGCGCTTGTTCCTGGAGTTGTCTGACAAACTCACAGCGATGAGAAGACTCCAGGATGCACGTAGCTCAGAAACAGTCCAACATGTAGCTCCCTGAAAACTGTGGTTCTGTACGGACAAACCAAACAAGACATAACTATGGACTGTATCAACAGTGGAAGTAGCATCCAGATGCAGAAGTGATTGAGCATTATGTCTAATGACCAGCAGGGGGCGACTCGTCTGGTTGCAAAAGAACAAAACCCACAGTGTACAGAAGACTATAGGTACATTGCTCAACTTCTTGCTTGATTTATTCGCTCAGTGAACATTTTCCTGAAGAGTTAATGGTCTCAATCGCTAGTTTTAAGCCTCCTTCAATACAAAATGATGTTTGCTTTGTGAATTTTGGCCCCATTTCGAGTGAAATAGACATTAAAGCATGGGCTGCTTTATAGTGTGGCTTGTTCATCATTGACAAGTCATCCTCCAGTTCACAGTCAGATCCACCCTTCGCTCGTCACTTCTGGCTTCAAAAAACAAACGCTGTCAACAAACCAACGTTTAGCGTCACTGTGGTTACGTCCATCTATGATAAACAGTCTATTGTTATGACCTGATTATCTGTAGCTTCACAGGCAGGTGGATTTTCTCACTTTCAGACAGAACCAGGCTTCTCTCCGTTTTGAGTCCTTATGCTAAGCTAAGCTAATTAGCTGCTGGCTGAAGCTCAAACTCTAAAGCACAGACAGGAGAGCGGCGTTGTGGTGTTCTCATCAGACTTTGGCATGAAAGCAAACGAGCATATTTCCCAGGATGTTTTCCTCGAACTATTTTTGCGTCATATGTAGGACTTTTATTATCTTCGACGTTCAGAAACGCCACCTTGGTTGAGGCATGTGTAACCAGCAAATAACAACACTGAAGCCAAGTGCTTTTCTCTTTTTTTTTTCTTCTCAAACTACACATGACTGGTACTAACGCTAATAGAGGAAGAAAATGTGTATTTAAACTGTTACAAGTAAATAACTTCTTTTTGAGAAGTTCTTTAGTGTACCAGTTTGAATGTTTTTTGTTTGTTTGTTTGTTTATCGCCTCTTTAATTCTCTCATCACGACAGAAAAACACTACACTGATTTGAGCTGGTTTCATTCACTAACTGAGGGGTGAGTTACACAACCTCTACACCAGCTTCACAACTGACAATAAATACACAACCAGTCCAGCAGCACACCACGTTTTACAGTCAGCCACGGATTAAAGTCGCTGCCTGGTGGAAGGTTTTCACTCTTTAGCTCTGAAGGAGGAGTGATGGGAAGTCTGTCACATGTCAAAAGAGAAAAACGAGAGTTACTGATCACCGGGATGGCTGACTTTTTTTTTCTTTTTCTTTTTTTCGCAGCTGACCCTGAAATTTGTGCTAAAATGTAAAAAATGTGTTACCAAAGTGAAATATTTCTTCAGAGGTGTTGAAGGGAACACGTTTGTCTTTTTTCTTCACGTTTTGACTGCTGATTTTTCGCCACCTCAGACCAGGGACAGACCTTTCATTCATCAGCCATCATTTACTTTCTCTGTTTTATCCATAATTCAACACAAAAAAATAGGTCTGAGCTGGTTAAATCCGAATCTCTTCAAAAAAAAAGAAATCTTTCCTCTTCATCCTCTCCATCTCTGACTACAGCATTTTTCATCTCCAACTCTACCTCTACACTTCAGTTTCTTTGTACCTTCAGTGGTTTCTTTTTCACACATCTATCTTGTACATTGACATCAGCGTCGTGGCCCTAACCGGCTGTAAAGAAGCTATAACTGATTCCATTTTTTTTTTTTTTTTTTTTTTTTAAATGTTGCACAAACAAAACTTCCCTGCACAGTGCAAACTACTGTATGCATAAACACGTCTTTTAACTATCATCTCATTGTCTTTTTTATTTTGTGTCTTTTTTTTTTTTTTAAACAAAAAGCAAAATCTTGTTCACACATGTAATATAGAGAAATCAGACCCACTTGTTTTATATATGTTAATTCTTTTTCTGTAAAGCCTTAGTCCTTGTATTTGATTTTATTTTTGTAGATATGATTTTCAAAAAAAAAAAGGATGTATAAATTATTTTCTTCTTCTTTGTTTTTAAAATTGGTGAGATTGTTAGCTGCACAGAAGGAAAAAAAGAGCTCATGTCTCAGATTCATGTGTTTTGTGAGATTAAAAAGAAACTGGACAAAGAAAACGACTGGTATGGAGTCTTTGAATCCAGGATGTTGTTTGCGTCTGCTGTTCTTTTCTTAAATCATATCCTAAATTGATATTTCTAATCCCGATATGTAGCGGAAATGTTTGGCACAACCTAATGTTGATTTTTTTTTTTTTACTTTTTTTTTTTTTTACATCAAACCAGGAGTCATTCATCAGAAACAACTGACATTTTTACAGAAATAAGGAGAGCCACCTCACTAATGTAGTTGTTACTTGTTAAAATGACATTAAAAACAATAAAGCAGTCCTTTTTTAGTTGTGGTAACTAAGACTGAGTGTTTGTTATCTAGTAATTGGCAAAAACTGGGAGGTTAGTCAAGTTTTATGCTCTGTAAAGCTCAAACGTTTCAAGCAAACTTCCTACAACAGTAATATTGCCCGTCCTCAGCTGCAAATAAAAGCATTTTGATTAAGATATACAAAAATATTTATTTTTTTAAAAAATTCCTTTAAAAAAACACACACACACTTTTTCGTAAAACATTTGTGTGTGAAAGAAATTGCAACTGCTTGAAAAGACAAAAAGGTCTAAATTCTCTGATTCCATTGTATTAAATTTGAACATTTGCTGGTCTCTTCTCTGAAACAGTAAACGTCCTATCTTTGGGTTGAGGACGAAACAAGACATTTAAGGACGTCATCTGGCTTTTGATGCATCGATACCAATTAAATCACAATGTTGGGGCTGCAGTCACTTTTTGGCCGCTGGGAAACTGCATTAAACTGGTAAATAATAATAATAATAATAATAATAACAATAAAAACTGGGCTAGTTAATGTAGAAAACAGAATGGGAAAATAATGCAATTACATTTGCAGATTGCAATCGTGATCCCTTTTTGGCCCGACGCCGGATTTATTTGGAAAATCCTTACCGGAAGTTGCGCGTGTTTTGCGTCTACCTTGACGCCTTGTGCTGCGCCGGTTGCCGGACGCTCCGACTCTCTGCTCAGCGGGGCTCCAGCACACAGCAGATGCGGAGCCGGGATGAGGTGCGTGTCGCTGCCTGTTGTGTGTCTTCGGTGCGTCGATCTGACTTTAAACCGACAAAAAAAGAAATCAGACTGCGTGGAAGAAGAAGATTCAAGTCACGCTCCGGCTGTGGATGAAGGTGCGGACGGATGAAAGTGGAGAGAAAGTGAATGTAGAGGGACTTTTGTTGGAGACTCGACTCCGGACTGCAGCTCGCCGGTTCTTTGTGCGGCGAGTTGCAGCTTTATCCTTTTGAGCAGAAAGGTAAGAGGAGCCTCCACAGGCATTGTGGGTAAAATGTGTTGTGTTCATGTCGGTTGTTGTCGAGCAGCGGCTGGTTGTTGCTCTGATGCAAAAATGAAAAAGTCGAATTTTCAGCGGGTTTTTTTTTCTTTTTTTTTTCTCAAATTACTTGTCCACAACCAGCCGCCTGTCAGGACTGATGAGCTGGCAGACACGTATTGATTTAACAAAGCTGAATTTCTCCAACAGTCTGAATCCAGACAGCTCAGCCGCAGACGCTTATTGAGTTTTCTCCCGTTTTGCGCCTTTACGCACGGTGTGCCAAATGGAACACTTTGCAAAATGCATCTGGTAGCTTTATTTCTCAGTGATCACATGCATGTGGGTTGGGTTTGTTGTGTGGTCTGTTGCTCACCGAGGCATCTCTCCAACCTGGGTGTGTTCTGCTTTGTCTGGACTCTGTGCGTTCCCAGCGCCGCCGTTGCTTTGAACATTTCGGTCACAGGTTGTCATGAACTTCTGCTGGATGCGTGTAATGTAAAGGCCTCGAAGCCTGAGCTAAGGTCGCCCTTAGGGTTCAGTAAAGAGGCAGCAGCCACGCCTCGCTGGCCCACTGCCACCCTGAGGCCAGGAGGCCCCTGGGAGCCACAGAGCAGGCTCATAAAGCTCCAGCATCATCTGAGGCTGGAAGGAGAGAAAACACTCATCTGGTCAAGAGTTTCATCCAAAAACCGATTGGTAAAGAGACAACAATTTACTTGTTAGCAGAGAGAATGAACTTCTTTAAAATATTAACATAGGAGGGAAGTGATGTGGCTTTTTAAAAAAATGCAAATGCATTTCATTATCTCACAGCACCAGCTGAGAATTACACTAGAGCACAAGCAGCAATTTAAAATGGTCAAATTATCTGTAAACAGTTGACACTTGTACAGTGTTTGTCCTGCCGTCCTGTTTCCACATCGCACATGGAAAGTCTCTCATCCCAGATGAAGCTGAACATGGTGTAAATCAATCTGTGGTGAACTGATTACAGTCAGCTGGATCAATGGAATTGACTGTCTCAGACAAGCGGCTTCTGTTTACATTCATGGCACAGCACGGTAGGTTTAAATCTGTGAGAAACTGATACACAAGCTCTTAGAAATCAGTGTTTACTGTGATAAACACTGTAATTTTTCTGTTCTGCTTTTACAAATGAATATGAGTCAGAAAATTAAACTCTCCCACTGAGCAGCATTCCACACTGGACACGGACATAAAAAAAGGCTCTCTAAACTCTTTTTTTGATAAGATGATCACTTATCTAAAGCCCCTACCCGAAAGGAAAAGCAATAAAAATAACGCACAAGAATTAGGCAAATGAAAAACCTGTTCTACTCTGAGAGATGCTGATGGTTTCAGCTGTCACTCTGCTCTGTTCTGTGTGCCTGAGCCAGGATTTGAATGATACAAAACATCCAACAGTTCCTTTCCCTCGGTGAAAGGGATCATTTTAACTCTGCTTGAGCTGCAGTACAGATCTAAAGATAAGTATTCATGCCAATAGGGAATATGAGTTCATTGTGATTTCCATTTTTAACCAGAACATGAGCAGAGCTGCTTCCTACATCCAGTCTTTCTAGAAGGACTTAAGAGCGACATTTTACGCTGCACATGATCATAAAATATGCTCGACAGCTGCTGCAACACGAACAACAATTCAGTTTCTCCCCTATTTTAGATCTAAAATACAAGCGAAGGGGCTCCAACATGAGCAAAACATGTTGGGATGTCTGATTGACATGTGCAGCCTCAGATTTATAATAAATCTGTTACACAGCGTTAGTTCATGTGAATTATTCATTTAAGTTCAGTTGTTGTATTTAAATTTTTTTGAGACTTTATCTGATATGTATTCAAGTTACCAGCTATCCCGACTTTATTTATTAATTATATATTTTAGCAACTTTATTTTGAAAATCAAGTGTCCCTAGTGCCGTTATGTCATTTTAAATACAAAATCTATGATCCTGAAAATTCAGTTGATGATTAATCGTCACTCAGAATATTGCGATTAACAGCTGAATCGTTTTTTGAAATGAGAAGTTTTATAGCTTTTAAATGCAACCTTTTCCTACAAATCCAACAAACATGCCCATCGACATGCAACTGGTTGTATAAAAGAAGTTAAGCTGAAATTGATGTGGAAATAATGATTACTGGCAGTTTTATTCAGCTTCTTTTTTTCTTTTTTTACAGGTGAATGAAAGTGATTCTGTTCGTTACGCAAAATGACTTTTTGTCAGTTTTGGCAATTCTGTAATTACTCCTAATGTAGAGGCCTAATTGTAATTCTCAAGGGAGTTTTGTGCCCAAATATTGTAAGTAAAGTGATTTTGTTTCTTTATACTTAAAAGTTTAACGTGTTTGGATATTCATTACAGTTACATCATTTGTCCTGAGCTTTCTAGGATCAGTTATAATATTGATAACTTTCAAAACTGTTTAATTTACGATACAAAATAAAAGGGGAAACATCCAATCTGACGTTAAAGATTGAAGAAAAGCTTTTGTTTTTATGGAGTCATGACTGAAAATCTGACAAAAGTTTGGACCCTCACATGGGTTGTCCAAGTTTTATAGATGAGAGCTGCAGCAGTTAGTTGATTCATCTATTAGGACATAGATATTAAATTAATAATCAACTGCTGGTAATTGATTCTCTGATTTCTGCTTTCTACATTTGAATATTTTCTACTTTCTTTCCTCCGTGATGTCAGTGAACTGCATACCTTTGGGTTGTGGACACAGCAAGACACTTGTGGGGCTTTTGAAAACACTTTTCACCTCTTCTTGACATTTTAAACACTACGATCGACCCCTGCACCTGTGATGATTCCAGCCACCAACACCTACTGCAAACATGTCCCCCCTCGACTCGTCCACGTGTGAATCACATGAAACCCATCAGTGAAATCTGGAGTGTTTAAAGTAGAACCCAGACACTGGAGGCCGTGGCACAAATGGAGAGCACGAGGAGATGCGTTATTAGATCAAGAGTCTGCTTGTTCTGCAGCCAAGTTGGAAAGTACCAACGCAGCTCTGTCCACACAAACACTAAAAATGCAGAACACACATTGTAAACGTGTGGAGAAAGAGAGAAACGTCCCGAAGAAGGAGTCAGAACAGTGGCCTGGTAAATGAATCGTGTCTGTTTTTGTCTTTGGAGGTGTGTAGACGAGGGATAGGGGGGGAGGAGGTCGGTGGGGGCTTAGTTGATGTTCTGGTTGCCACGGCAACTACTCCCCCCTCCTGGTTTTTCTCACCCGTAGCCTCCCATTCATCCCCATTGTAGTGGCTAAGCTCCGTTGCCCTTGGAGACCGCAGGGGACAGTTGGGGAATGTGGCGTCCGGGCGAGTATGTATCACACATCAACCCATAGCAAAGAAAAGAAAACTGCATCATATGAGCTAAAATAATTTTAAAAAAGCAACTAATATGAGTTCTTTCTGTGCATAAATGAGCCCAGAGCCTGGTTTTAAAGTCAAACATAAGGGGGGAAAAATCAGCTTTGCTTGCTCAGATATGAAACTGGAGCATTTGAGAGCTGCTCTGATGTCGGGCCTCCACTCCTGCACGCCGGAGACTCGCAGCCGAGAATAGAAGGTGGCGTAATTGCCCTTTATTGGCTGAGAACGCACTCGGGGCCAAATCACTTGAGTTCGCTCATAAAAACTCCCTCAAAGCAGAAGAATGGGCTCAACTCTGTCCTGCGCCACAGAAAGCACATAGGCTTTCACACACCTCAGAGTGCCAACATTTAACAATGCTGTCTCTCTTCTTGTTGCTGTCACTTGGTATGTGTCCCCCTGAAAGTATTTTGCCTCCGTCTCACATGACAAATTATCTTTCCCCTTTCCCTCCCTCTCCTCATTTCTCCTTCTGCCTCACCCTCTGTTCATGCTCCTCATCCCTCATCTCACCACTTTCTCTCTCCCACACGATCTTTTCCAAACTCACTATTTCTCTATAATTCATCTTCCTCCCCTCCCCTCATCCTCCCGACTTTTCCCAGGCCTCCAAGATAGATTCCCTCAGGAGTAAAGTGGACTTGCTGCGCCTCCCTTTGGCCCTCTCTTCTAAGTCCATCAACAACTGCAAGACCCAGTTGGGCGTGGCCTGGGAGAAGGGCGGTGGCTCGGGGACGGGAGTGGCCTGGAAGCTCCGCCCACCGCCGGCCTCTGACATGGACAACGAGTCGACGTACTCGGGCTACTCCTACAAGTCGTCCCACTCACGAAGTTCTCGCAAACACAGGTAGACGATTGAACTGTGAGATGAAAAGAAAAATATCGCTTTTAATTCCTCAGATCAGAAGTTGGCGTCCAAAGACCAAAAATATTTCATTTTCTGTCACTGAGGCTGGAAGAAATCAGCAACGATTTAAGAAGTCACAACCAGTGAATTTTGGCACCTTTGTCAAAATTAGATTCTCTGATCACATGAAAAGTGAAAGCAATGTTTTCATTTGTCTTCCTGGACCACATAATAATGTATCTGCACGTTTTATTTTTCCTCATGCGTATCCAGAGAGAGGAGGGACAGGCATCGCTCAAAGAGCCGCGACAGCAGCATCCGTGCAGACAAATCAGTGATCATCCAGCCACCAGGCGAACCGCTGCTGGACGCTGAGTCCACCAGAGGAGATGACCGGGTCAGAGCCTCATCCTTCCCTTAACGTGTGTTCTCTTTCCATAGACCGAGTATCACTAACACGCTCTGCTCTCCTTTCTCTTCAGGATGATAACTGGGGCGAGACCACCACAGTGGTCACCGGCACCTCCGTGGACAGCATCTCCAACGAGGACCTGACACGGATCTCAAAGGACTTGGAGGACTCTTCGCCACTCGAGTGCCGCCGTTACCTCAGCCCAGCCTTAGGAGCCATTCTGGGGCTCTTCTCCCTGATCACTCCTCTGGCCTTCTTGGCCCTCCCACAGCTCCTGTGGCGGGATACACTGGACCCTTGCGGCACACCATGCGAGGGCCTTTACATTTCTCTGGCCTTCAAGCTCCTGATCCTCCTCATCTCCACATGGGCGCTGTTTCTCCGCCCGCCAAGGGCCACTCTGCCACGCTTCTTTGTCTTTCGCTGCCTGCTGCTGGCACTGGTCTTCCTCTTCGTGGCGTCCTATTGGCTGTTCTACGGAGTGCGGGTGCTGGAGCCCCGAGAGACGGACTACAGGGGGATTGTGGGATACGCAGCATCTTTGGTGGATGCGCTGCTGTTCATTCAGTACCTGGCTTTGGTGCTGTTGGAGGTCAGACACCTGCAGCCTGCTTTCTGTCTGAAGGTTGTGAGGACCACAGATGGCGTCAGCCGCTTCTACAACGTGGGACATCTCAGGTTAGTATGTATGGAAAAACAGAGAGTCTGTGTCTATACAAAGAAAGAAATTGCACCTGTTTTAAGTTTGGCTGCAATCCTGTTTGAAGTAGTGTCTTTGTGCACCACTCCCAGTGCTCCTGCCACATTTGGAACCATCGCAGAACGGTGACCTTTTAACTTGAATTTTATTTTGGGGGAATGGAAGAAGTTGCAGGAAGTAGGAGAATGTGGATAGCATAGGTGCAGCCACAGTTCAGGTCGATTTCCAGAATTTTCTCTCGCAGATGCCTCAGGAGGCTACAGCAGAACTTTCCGTCAACACTCTGACCCCATGAGATGAATTCATGGAGCACAACCACGCGCATGTCTTAACAAAAACTACTAGCGTGCTCTCGATGGGCCGTTTTCCGTCTTGGGCACTTTGTGGGTTCTTCCACTGAAGACTGCTCTGTGGTCTCTGGGTCACGTGATGACCTTCCACATGAATGTTGGGTCAGTTTGGGATGGATTGTGATGTTTGAGGTGTAAATGTAAATGCACATTTGTAATTAGTCACAACGAGAGTGTTTCAAAGGTGGCAGGAACGTGAGGAGCAGTGTTTTTGCTGCACAAGGTGACAATTTTGTAGGTGAATGCGGTCAAATCCGGTTTTTGTTTTTATTGGCGCCGTCTCAAAACTGTTTCATCAAACCTTGTATTTGAATTTTCTGATTTTTTCACTTACGTATGTGGCCTTGTCTGTTTATTAGGATCTCTAAAATGATATCAAATTACTGTAAAACTGGTTGCAGAGTCCAACCAGCGAATAAGGAATAATGTTTGTTTTGTGTCGATGTCTTTCTGGACTTTAGGTAAAGACATCCATCTGAACCACTACCTATCTGAAGAACACTTCCCTCTATATACAATTCAACTCAAACCATATTTAGATGACCTCACAAAACTTCAACTGTTTGTTTTTGAATCATCCACATTGTTTCACTGTATTCTAAGCCTCTAGCTATTTGCCTCACTGCACAGCTAAGCATAAACTTGTCTCTCTAGTATCATAAAGAGGCTACCAGGTTCTTGCATTTACCAACCAAACGGAAAAAAAACATACTAGGTGGTTGAAAGGTGTACACGGGGAAGGTCCAGCAGTGAAACTTGCTAACTGTGTTGCTCTCTTTTTGAGTGTGTGCTGTTGGCTGAAAGTCGACCAGCATAGCGACTACAACTCTTGACTCCACTGTGCAGCTTCAGCCACACAAAGAATCATCCTACAAAATAAGATGTTTTTTTGACTTTTTGTCTATTTATGGTCAACACAACAGAAAGATAAAAGCACAGTAAGTGGATATAATTGTGTGTTCATGCATTTGACTCACATGATGAACGTGTTCTCTGTGTGCAAAGTGCCGGTGCTCCAAATTAAGTAATATTAAATCAACAAATACAATAACTACAAATACGGTCACATGACAAGTCTGACAGTCAGTCAGTACAATATGGACACAGTTTCTTTTCCCAAGTGTAGGTCTAATTCTACATGAGATTGTTGTTGATTTATGTTCTCACACTTCAGCAAAACGTTTTTCTCATGCATGCAGCTCAGGGATCGTGTCGTTTGCTGTTCCTGGCGGTTCACCACTTCCTTACTGCCTACGTGCAGACTGACCATGAAGCGGAGGTTGTCAGAGGTGATGTGCACTGATAACCGCTCTCTGTTACGGCTGTTCAACTTTTCTTCCTCTATCTGATACTCTGCAGCATTCAGAGGGCAGCCGTGTGGGTTCTGGACCAGTACTACAGCGACTTCCCCGTCTATAATCCTGCCCTGCTTAACCTGCCCAAGTCCATCCTCACCAAGAAGATGTCTGCCTTCAAAGTCTACAACCTGGGGGAAGGTACAGCCCCGTGTCCAGTGATAATTCCTACCGTGCATGCTCCAAATGCGACAAACATGGATGGCAAGGGAAGGTTGACTTGCAAAATGATTCAATTACAGTAGAGTTTATGATGTCTGTAATATGCAAAATATTGCATGACAGACATCTACATTGCATCACTGTGATATCAACCCACCTGAAAACTGAATTTTCGCCACATTCATTCACTTCTATAACAACCACAACCTTAAGCCAAACAGTAAAATTGTGCCCTGAGTCTATCCGTATGAGAAATCTTCCAAATTATACATGGATTGAAAATAGATGCACTTTTTGGACACGCCCACAACAGTCTGGGTTTCTCTGTCCACACATTACATGGATCGTGTTTCTGTCCGCAGAGAACAACACCAATAACTCCACAGGCCAGTCCAGAGCCATGATCGCAGCCGCTGCTCGGAGAAGAGACAACTCCCACAACGAGTACTACTATGAGGAGGCGGAGGTGGAGCGGAGGGTCCGCAAACGCAAGGCCAGGTAGGAACGCAATTACAGAAAAGTTGTACACACACTCACACATAAAGACGCAGTATTTGTAGGCTATATTAGAGCTGAGGAAAGGACTGAGGGCCAAGCAGCTTCAAATGCAGATCATACACGCTTTTTTTTTTTTTTTTTGTACTCACAGACTGGTGGTGGCAGTAGAGGAAGCCTTCACCCACATTAAACGGCACCAGGAGGAAGACGCAGCCACATCCTCTCCCAAACACCCGCGGGAGGTGATGGACCCCAGAGAGGCAGCTCAGGCCATCTTCGCCCCCATGGCCCGGGCCATGCAGAAGTACCTCCGGGCCACCAGGCAGCAGTCCTACCACACCATGGAGAGCATCATCAACCATCTGCAGTTCTGCATCACGCACAATATGACCCCCAAGGTTAGGAGGCTTAAGAGTTGCATTTTAAGTGGTCGATCATCTACATATTGAGCAGCTTTATTCTCCTTGACTTGTTGCAAACATATTTTCATATTCTAAGCTGTTCTCCTCCCTGTGAGGCCCCAAATTTGTGTGAAAAGTAAGGAACTGCATTCTTTCAAAGCATATGTACAACCTTTTAAACCTCGGCTGTGTACAAGCCAGCTGAAAACCAATGTAAAGCATGTCTTTAAAAAAAGGGAGGGGGGATTGAAAAGTGGGGATAAAAAAAGATGAGATGAAGTGGTTCCTCTCCAACCAGACAAGACACATGCTTCGTATTATGATCTTCATGTCATTACCTGGTTAAGATGTATTTCCAAATGTAATCAAACTCAACATGTAAATACATATTAGTAGCTGCATTCCACCTTAACATTGTGTTCAACCACATTTAACTGTGTTAGCATCACTATTCCTACTTTGACTTGCACATTTGTTCTTTGAAGGCTTTCCTCGAGCGCTACCTCATTGCCGGTCCCACCCTGCAGTACCTGGATAACAGCAGGGGGCGCCAGTGGACTCTGGTGAGCGAGGAGCCGGTGACGGCCTCTTTGCGCCGAGGCCAGGTCTTCTGCCTGAGACGCCTCGACTTCTCCCTAGTCGTCACGGTAACGCCTCTTCCGTTCCTGCGGCTGGGCGAGGTGTTCATTGACCCCAAAAGCCACAAGTTTGTCATGAAGCTCCAGTCAGAGACGTCTGTGTAGGAGGAGGAAGATTACTGGACAGGAAGGAGGAGGAGGACGATGATGAATCAAAAATACTAATCTGTCAGGGTATCGGGTTTTTTTATACCTTTTAGTATTACAGTTTTTTTCCATAATTGTTCCTCGATAATTGTGACATCCAAATATGCAAAAGATAAAATATCATAAACATACAGGAAGGACGAGACACAGCAGCAAAAACACCCGATCGCTGACTTTGTTCCTCTTCTTGTTCAGTCGAAACAAACATAAACTCAGACACTCGCCTCTGTAAATGCTGACTGTTTACTTCTCCTAATGCACTGATGACTGTTTCCAGTTCCCATCACAGGGAGGAACACTGTTTAGTAGCATTTCCACACAAATTCAATGTGTTCTCTGGATAAAAAAAATGCTATCCTCTGGGTAAAAATGGACATTTGCAGCTCGAGCCATTTGTTCCAGATAGCTTGGAGGATGCCTTCTTGGTGCACAATCAGTCGTGAGAGGCTTCACTTAACCCTCCTATTACCTTCAAATTTACTGACATCTTTCATCCGTGGGTTCAGTTGAACCCCAGCAATTTAAACCTCCAGAAAATATCATAATTAAAAATGGTACCCAAGTGTATGTGTAAATAACTCTTTAAATAAAACTGAAATGGGGTCAAATTGGCCCCAAAGACAATAGGAGGGTTAAATAAGTTCTTTCTGAGAACTGGTCATAGTTCCTTTTTTCCTTCTTGTAAAAAAAAAAAAAAAAAGTTTAGTTTCCTTCTTTTCGACTGTATTCACTGAAGCAAAGCGGAACCTGCTTTGGAACTGCTTCAAGTAGTTTTGATTCCACTGAAAAGCTGACGTAAAATGTGCAGAAACCTACTGAAGCATCGAGGAGGCCTGGATGGACTTGACCGAACATTTCATAAACACTTTCTGACACAAACACATTTTTATGTCTTGCACTGACAACAAATCTAACAATCAAAGCACAACAGATACAGTGTGTCCCGTTCATCTTTTGTAGCACTGGTATGAGGTGATCATCTCCAGCAGCTTGATGTTAATGACTGTCCTTGGCAGAGTAGCTGAGTATATATGTGTGTGTGTGTGTGTGGCTTAAGCTCGTCAGGAACCATCTGTGATACGTACTGGATCTCCTCCATTGTGTTGAAATGTTCAATTTGAATTTCATTGTGGCACACAGGGCAACAACTGTGTTGGTGCGGCCAAGAAACTCACATGTTTTTGATGGTCTATGCTCCGAATGTTCTCCCTCAGGAGTTAACAGTAGATCTCAGCACTGACAGTCCGATCCTGGAGGGAAAAGCCTCGTGAATGTTGAGGATGTGCGCGCCTGACCTGGAACGCCTTCTTCAGTTTTGGAGACTTCAGGCTCCTGCGCTGCGAGTATTGTCGTTTGGTCTCTGGGTGGTAGCTGCAGACCTGAAGGTTGGGTCACACCAGGCCTGAGTCCTGGCAGGGTTCGAAATTGCCTGCTAGTGATCACAAAAACACGGTTCCAGAGAGTTACTGCAAACACCTGTTGCGTAACCGTACAAGAAGTTTTTGATTGTTTTCCTAAATGTAGTTGAATGTTCACAAATTGCTTCAGCCAGCCAATGACTTCTGATGTGTTTGTGTTTAAAAATGAATAATTCATCAGCTGTCAGAATAGGTGCAGGTTAATTTTCTGTTGGTGAACTAAGTGTTAAGTACACTAATCACTCATACTAGGTTTCCTGGATGTGTGGATTAATACTGAAGCTGCTGTACATAGTGGGGCTCAACAGCAGGCCTCGCGCAGGTTAATCCAGCCTTTTGTGTATCTTTTAATTCAAAGCTGTCCTTTTGACACTACAGATAGAGATTGTTGTGCCACTCACAAGTTTACGTGTACATGCAGTTTTCTAAGATTGTATTTTTCCTGTTTTTTATTCGATTTCTTCTGCTGCCACTTTGTTGTACTGAAACTAAACTCCTAACACTTGTTTCTAAAGGACGTGAGGTTGTCTTTAAAAGCAAGATGATTCGCTGTTACACTGTGTTTCTATGAACAAAGTTGAACTGAAATGTTTTTAATAAATGACCTCATGTAAAATCAGGCATGTCATATGAGTCATATGAGTCATATGAGTCACAAGTTTGTTTTTGGGGAGTATTTTTCGAAACAGGAAGTGAAAGTATGCTGTGTGGGGGTGGGTGCTGTTCAGAAGAAACGCCAAATTTCCATTGTTCTATAAACATTGCTTTGATACAGCTGAAGAACAATAATGATAATGAATAATGGTACAAAATATGGATTTACAGAACTGAAATGAAGAATAGAAACACAATGGTTCAAGGAATTTGCACTGATCTATGGGAAATTTACCTTAAAGTGCAACACATATTGACAAAACCTACGGTGGCAGACAGGGGCAAATGACGTGCATATACACAAGCGAGCTGCATATACATGAATGCGTTACATAAATAGAAACACACTACAAAAAAGAAAAAAAATGCAGCTTCTGTCAGCTCAAACACTAAGGACAAGACACCAAGACACAGACAAAGCAACGTGGTGAACGCAGTCCAGTGCAGCGAGGAATGTCCAGACCTGTACATCGGGGAGACTTAACAACCGCCCCACAAGCGCATGGCTCAGCACAGAAGAGCAGCTCCTCAGAACAGGACTCGGCAGTCCACCTGCATCTCAAGGACAAAGGACACTCATTGGAAGACAACAACGTACAGATGTTGGCCAGGGAGGACAGATGGTTTGAGAGAGGGGTGAAAGACGCCATCTATGTCAAACTGGAAAGACCATCACTTAACAGAGGTGGAGGTCTGAGGCGTCGTCTCTCACCTGTTTACAATTCAGTCCTAAGATCTCTCCCCAGGAAGATGAAACTACATTCACACCGAGCCACAAAAGACACTAACGAACCCCATTGTGGCAGAGGGAGCACTAACAACTCACATAACGAGGGGGAGGAGCAACAACCCCCAATTGAAACCGAAAGTCAGGTGTTAATAGCTCCTTAGGATATAAGTATCTGGATCTCCCAACTCGATGAAGCCTCTTGGATGAAGGTGGAACGTCTTCAAGGAACTCAAGCAGGTCCAGTTGCTACGATTAATCTACCAGAATACCCATGACCTGGATGTCTGAGAATCTTCACAGACACTGCAGTGTAAAAAAAAACCCACAAAAAATGCCACAATACGATGCACTCTGTTATACTTTACACTCGCTACGATCACAGTACATCCTCTGGTTGCCGTTTTCCTGCATGTGTCCTTCTTTTCAGACGACACTAACGTTGGTCAGTGTGGGCGCACACATCTGTACAGTGATCTCTGTAGTTATTAGTGTGGACAGGCCACAACAGTAAAACTGGTTCATGTCTGACTGTCGGAAGAAAAGAACGACGAAAACATCAGAGCTAATGCTGTCTAATGTCTAATGGGGAAAAAACGTGTCCCAGACATTGAAATGTACTGGTTTGAAATTTGTGCTGGGGAACATGGAAAAGGTTGAGCAAATCGTGTCCCAGGACACGAAACAATATTATTAATAATAATAACATTAAGTTTTGTGACTATTTCATGAATTGCCATGAGACTGGGTTGGCTTATCCCTCAACTACCTTTACTTGTCTGGCTCACCGTTGTCTGTCTCTCAGGTGAAAAGCTCACTACTATATGATGTCATGATTATTCTGTTTGTGGTTGAAGACCTACAATTTTGCAAACTTTGCACATTATGATACTTGTATGTTGAAGATCTACATTTCTGTAAACTTTGCAAATGATAATGAAAGTTTTTGTGTGTTTTAAAAAAAAAAAAAGCTCACTACTTCCGTTGTGTGGCACTTCTTTTATGTGGCGCTTGCTATTTCATTCATGACATAGTTTTTGAATTAATCGGCCGATTAATCGGTTATCGGAATTTTTTTATTTTTTTGCCAAATATCACAATCGGTTGGGCCCTAATAACCATAACTCGATTTTGCAACACAGAATTAGTGGCTGAAATAGGAACAGTGCTTCTTCTGCTGCGGGGAGTAAATGTTAAAAGCCGACAAACAGGAAGTGAGCCACAGTTGCCTTTTGGAGTTACAATGAAACAACTGACTCTGCTCATTTTATTCCTTCAAGGTATGTTCTCTTTTCATTTTCTGAATATATATTGGAGCTATAAAAAAAAAAGTAAACTAAACTTTATCTGGAACAATAATTCAGAACAGAGTCGGAATTCTAGTGACCTCCTTACACTGAAACACTTTGAACTACGGAGTGAAACAGCTAAAGAAGTGCACATGTAGTATATTAATGCTCAGTTCGTATCACTAATCTGTTTGTTTGATGTTTAAATTAAGGTTACTACAGGATTTTCTTTTTGACAGCAAACGCCACGAAAAGCAGGAAGTACAGTATGTAGAATGAGTGACAGGAAAATCTCGTGAACGTCATCTGTTGATGAAGCTGAAGGACATTGGTCATCTTAAAATAAGATTTACATCAGCTTGACTATTTTGTGTGGTTTCGTATATGTCTTGATATTCAGGGATGGTGACAGGCTACACACTATATTAAAATGTGTATGTACATCTACCCCGACCCTGAAAAGTGGCTGAGTTTTTTTCCACCACGTTGCTGTGGTTAGTTATTCTTACGGAAATGCTGTCACAACTATTATTAGCATTGACATTTTCTACAGAAATTCACTGTTCCTCTGAGAAGATCCCCTGTGGTTAAACTTTAGTAGCATTTATTTAATACAGACATTCATGGTCTCCAGAGGATGACTTCTACTGGCTTTAGGGTTGACATTTTTTAATTTATTTTTTTAATCATATTAGCAGCACTTTTGCGAATTGCTTTGATGCTTAGTACGGCCACCAAAGGACCCTGGATGGTGATTTGTAAGAAAAAAAAAACTAAAATAGAACGTGACCCCTGAACTTTTATCTAGCGTCATCGTCAGGTTCCAATCAACCACACTGTGTTGGTGCTAATTAACAAATATTAGTAATATGCTAGACAGGTGAGCACAGTAAGATAATAATACATAAGATTTAGATTTTTTTTAAACATATATTACATATAATGAATATAATAAATATAGAGACAGAGCCTGTAATAGGTGTTCAAACCCTTCCTATTGTTGCTCTTCAACACTGACCACAGTCAATTTATTTTTGGCTTTTTTGAAAAGAATTCACCAAAAAAAGACTCTTTGATGCCAAAGTGATTTTGCTAAAACCTCATTAATCTTAGATTCAGTTAACTTTCTCGACAGAAACGCACACCACACATGATTAGTTCAAGAACTGTATGAAAATCTAACGACTCTTTCTGGTTTCATAGTTTCTGGCTCTTATAAATGCTGTAATTTTGGCAATTTAAAACAAAAATTGTACATCTTTCAAACATGCCAACCAGTTTTGCGTTTCATTAAAAATACCACAAAATGAACAACTTAAACTCTGAATAGAGACGAAATGCGTAGTTATCTTCGTCAGCCTGTTTTAAAATGTTGACAGCTGTGTTTAGGGAAGTGTTTTTCTTCTTCTGCTTTGTCTCTGTATAAGATAATAGAGACAGGTCACCATGTCACTGAGTCCTTTCACATTTGTTTTTAAAGTGGTACTGGTTAAATCACTTGGGGAAGTCTCTGGCTACCTTGGGGATTCCATTACCCTGCGATCAGGAGTCGACCCATCATGGAGTCTCTCCAAAATTGAGTGGTCAATCTTCTCTAACCACACTTGGATTGCCACGTACCACAAAGGGAGGAAAAGCACTGAACGCGTCCCTCGATATAAAGGGAGACTCAGTCTAAACATCTCTTCAGGTAAAAGAAAGTCTATCACCGTCCAGCGTAAAGCAATTGTTGGCCTAATTCTCTTTTTTGACTTTGTCTTTCAAACAAATCTTATTTGCTAGGTGACTTAACGATAGAACGACTGACCAAAAAGGATGCCATGGAATACACTGTGGACATCTTCAACACCGAAGACGAAGAGTACTTTCTCCAGATTAAGCTGATCGTGAGAGGTGAGACTCAAGACTGATTCTTAAACTACTTGATGGTTCGTAACAATGACTTCTATTCACACTGCAGAAAAGTTAACAGCTTTTAATGAAGGCTGGGTTTCTACTTCGTTTCATTTTGAATGCTTAGTTGCCAATATTTTGCTTATGAATGTGTTTCAAAGCAGTCAGGTGTGAACATTATGCCCTGAGCATGTTTTTTTGAATCAACACTTCCAATTTGTACCTCTGCAGAACGCCTCCAGATACCAGTCATACGATCAGAAACCAGTTCACCTGTTCAAGGACAATGTTTTACGGTGCTGGATTGTTCTTCACCTGAGAATGGCGTCCACTACTCCTGGCATGTGGTACCATCCACTGTGTACATCACTGGCAGGAGCTCTCCACACCTTTTAGCAATTTTCAATACGACAGACAACCCTGTCAGCTTCACCTGTACCACCAGCAATAACATGGATAACGCCTCGAGTGTTGTCACCTTAAAGTGTGATGGTAAGATTTTAGTCTGCAGTAATTTGGTTAAACAGATATATGGGATGTGTCACATGCGAGCACAACATCAGCTGAGATAGGCGTCCAAAGACGTCCAAGATCAGGTATCAAACCTTAAGCAAGGGTCAATCAATCCTGCTCTTTTTCCTTCTATGTGCTCGCCAATGCTGATAATAGAAGTAGTATAAAGATGGAGTATTTCAATCATATTAGAATAAAACTCAAAGGACTGTATAACTACAGAACAACAACTTTATGATACTAGTATCAGTGTTTATCTCACCTTAAGGCCAACAATATGTCAGTGGATACAATGCATCTGTGGGTTGAATTAGCGCAAACCAGTTTACACACATTAAGCCAAAGTATACACCAGAGATCTCCAACTCTGGTCCTCGTGAGCTACTGTCCTGCAGGTTTTAGACGTTTCCGTACTGCAACACACCTGACTCTAATTAGTGGATCATTAACAGACTTGTGTAGAACTTGACAACAAGCAGTTGGAGATCCATTAATTAGAGTCAGGTGTGTTGCAGTACGGAAACATCTAAAACCTGCAGCTCTAGAGGACCAGAGTTGGAGATCCCTGGTGTACGCAATACACCAAATATTATAGTGTGATACAGTTTCATGCAATAAAAAAGTCATATAAAGTTATCAAACTCTTCAACTGTAATGAAACTAGCATGCGTCTGTGAAAGTCTTTGATTTTGATTAAGTCTTCCATGTATTTTCAGGTGACAAGCTTCAGCCTGTGACCCCAGAACCTGCACAGTTACAGGGCAGGGAGAGATTCATTACTCCTTTTTTAATTGGCCTCCTGGTTGGTGCAATCACAGTAACTATAACTGTCTGTTTCAGAGGTAAGAAGAAAACATCCCCCCTCAAAATACACTTTTTGTTGGTCCTACCGCTTTCTAAAGGAAAGGTCAGCATCTGTGCTCCAGTTTTACAACTTGCCGTTTGTGTAGCACTGACTAGTTCTACAGTGTTGGAACGGAGTTGTGCGTGAGCTGGTGTGCTCGAGCTGCACAGCAAGGGAAAGCAACAGTGTAGAATTACATTTAAGTTATTTTAAGGAAAGAAGGGATTATAATTGGGGATGCACGATATATCAGCGACCACATCGGTATCGGCCGATGTTAGTGTTTTTTCCAATATATCGGTATCGGTCCGATGAACAAATTTAGCTGATGTGAAAAACCGATGACTGTCTAACATTAGCACCTTCGTCTATACATTTGATATTGCTGCTATTTTACAGAGGTTTTTCTTTAATGGTCCTGGACTTGAACATTAAATATGTTTTACTTTTGTTACATAGTAAAGAAGACTAAGTGCTCTAATTTGGTGCGGGCTTCTTTTGAATAGTTTTCACGTTCTAACAGTGATTACTCATTTTTCGGTGTGAACAAACATTGAATATCAGTAATATCGGTTATTAAGTTTTAACATCGGTATCGGCCAGAAATTTTAATTTAATATTGTGCATCACTAATTAGAATCATAGAAAAATGTAAGAAAAACATGCGACTTTGATGCATGGAGATGCCTTTTTAAGGGTTTAATCAATAACAGGAGAGGAAATATAAGGAATTCTCTATAGGCTGCCATACAGGTTTGGGACCACGATGGTTTTGTCATTAAAATATGTACGTGTGCTTTACACATGCATGACATTCATTTTGGTATGAAACAGTGAGCTGTGAAAGAAGGTCACAGGGCTGGGGGAAGGGGAAACTGTCGGTTTGACGGTTTTTCCTGCCTGCCTGCACCACTTTCTTTCACAGGTATAGTCATAACTCGCCTCCTGTTCACACTCAGCTCCTCTCATCAAGCCTACACACTTTTCTTAAGAGGTTACCTGCAAAACCTGAATGAACAATGAGCAGATTATAGCTTTTACTGTTGGTGTCACACTGTCCTGAGATCAGCATTGCTCCTAAACCAGTGAAACCATGTTGAGATTATTTTTTTGTGCTTTTTACAGTGCGCATTGGAAATGCATTTCAGTGCCTGACAGGTATGCCTGTTATTTTGTCACGTTCAGACTGACATGACCACTGTTGCATGAACTCATTCATATTCAACTTTATTTTCCAGAAAAATTGTGCTCATCAAAAAAATAATGAATCCTAAAAGGTAAGCTGCTGCTCTAGTTTGGTTTTTTTTCTAGTTGGTAGCAAAGGCTGGTAACACAAAATAACCAAGTTTCTCCCTCATTCTTTCTTAACCAACATGAAAGTTTCAAGGAGCCAGAATGACAACGAACCAACAACACCACAAATCACCAGAGACGTCTGCAGCAACAGGAGTGTGGTTTGTATGGCATGCTGTATATTTATTTATAAGGTGGAAGCAGCCACACAAGCAAGCAGAAGTGAATGTATTTTGAGAGGATCTGCAGAGGATGTTCATTATTTATCTGATGCAGAGCTGCTGGTATTTTTCTGCACTTGTATTTTTTGTGTGTGTTTTTTTGTTGTTATTGTCACAACCTTTGCCCCCTTCAACTATAACACAGAAAAAGCCCAGCAACCATGGAAAGCTCCCACAATACTGGCTAACATTCCCTAAAAGTTCCAGTTGTGTTTTCAAGAAAAATGTTCCTGTAAGACTAAATGTTAACCTAACGTTTTGTCTGCAATATTGAGAGAGTGTTTTGAGGGTGTGGTCGGGGCCACAGATTATGTTGAACGATAACAAATTGAGACCTGAACCGAAACAAACAAAACAAGAAACTCCCACTAATGTTCTTAGAATGACTGAGCATTGTTAGAATGTTTTGTAGAAAATGTTATCTTACCTTGAAGAAGAAAATCCAGGAAAAAAAGAAACTTCCAGCTGAAAACATTCCTTTGCAGTAATATTCCAGGAATATGTTTTGAGAACAAATTCTAGCTAAAATGAACGTGGTGATGGTTCTGCACAGAGCTATCGTTTGTTGTTTATTGTTGTTTTGTAATGCTTGTCACGGTGATAAACTTTGAGAGAAGGATGCACACTGGCCACAACACACTAGTACCTCAAATTCTACTCTAGCAAACCTGCTGAATACAATCCTTCTAGTTGTATGCGTACAAAATAGCACTTGCTAATTCGATGGCATCATTTCTGGTTATTTCATTTTCTTTAGCATGCGCATTAACAACATTAAAATGTTAATGAAATAACTTGACATTCAGACAGACATTCCAATTCCATCACCTTTGTCTTTTTTCTTTTGTTAATTTGTTGTTTGTTTCTATGCAATCTACTCCACGATCAGAGGGCTGTAGTACGAAGCAAGGTCCATAGAGAGAGAAGTATATTGAGCCTAAAGCCAGAGTTTTCTTTAACCGTCTCCATCGCCATGGTAACTGATGCTACACAGCTCACCTGCAGGCTCTGTTCAGAGGAGCAGGCGAGATTAAATGCCTTTTGTTAAGCCAGGTTTTGTTAAACCAGTTTGTTTGTTAAGCTGAAGAAATCCTGGATATGTCAAACTTGCTTCCTAGTACAGCCATCAAGTGTCAAACATGAGGCAGGAGATTCCAAAGCACTTTATTATGGATTTATCTGAATATACCACAATGGGCAGAAAGCAGAAGGGGGATATTTTCTGGATTTTTTGAGGAACATCTCTCAACCGATCACTTCTACAGTAGTGACGCCTGATAGAGGCTCCTTTAGAACTTCACTGTTGCAGTATTTTGCTGAAGTTGGTCAATTGCTAAGCTTCCAAATGTGTATTTTCAGTATTGCATTTTTTTAACATGCGTTTTTAATCCCTAAATCACCACAATAAGCATGTGCTGCCTTATTCTGTGTTGTCAACACAATAAATAAACTGGATACTGTGTAAAGCTCGTTTTTACGTCCTTGTGTGCTTCCTGCAGTCAGTTCTTACAAGGCTTTGTGAGGAAGTCTGTCTTCTGCTGACAGATAAAGTAGTTTGCTAAATATAGGCTGAGCAGTCATAGTGCAGAGAGGTTTTACTGCAATGCAACTGCAAGGAAAGCACACGTCAAAGCACGGAGCGTCATTTTTAAAATCCAGCCTTTTATTAGCTGTTGACCCAACTGGCAACGCAGCTGAATGACAATGAAGCAAATAACAAAAAGATGCACAGGTGACAGTAAATACAAGAAGACAAACAAAACATCCAAAAATATAATCTCTGTATATACAGAATGTACAACAGTTACTTACAGTCTCAAAAAGATAAGATTTCAATTTGATAAAGCTTTGATGCCACACAGACCTACGCAAAAGTCTTTTACACCTTTCTGCCTTCAGAAGCTGCTTCGTATTGGCCTTGTGTTTCCTTGTGCTGCACCGAGCGGCCCTTGAGCAAAGCTACACACCGTCTAGGAGATGTCTTGGTAGGGCGACACCGAGGCCTTCCTCATGCGATTGGACTGGATCTTGTCGTACACAGTTTGAGGCTAAATGCGAGATAAAAATGAGGTAAAGAAAAAATAATGATTTTAAAAAAACATCACTGTCACAATGAAATTAATTTCTAAAATGCTGTTAAATATGAGGAAGATCATAATTACACCTTTCAGGATGTCATAAGAAAGTCTGATCTGGTAATGAATGTTTATGTTGCAAATGAAAACAATAAAATACACTTGTGCTCAGTTTGATCAGCTGCTACAGAGTAACTCGTTCTGGTATGAACAGCATCCAAAGTTAGAAAACTAACATTATAATCTGTAACCATAAGATCGTACAATCACAAAGTGTTGCTCTTACCCCAGGCGTAGCTCTGTTGGTTCTGTTGTCGATGGTTTCATACACTGAGCAGGGCTTCATAGTCCCCTGAAAGTTCACACATGGATGCATTACTCAGGCAGGCAAAGAGAAACGGTCAAGTAAAACTTCAGAACATAGAACAGTGCGTCTCAAGTTCTGCATCTCTGTATGTAGGTTTGTCACTTCATTTCAGTCATTTTGCATCGCTCTGTAACATTTAGCATCTCTTTGAGGTCATTCAAGTCATTGGAGTTAATTTGTGTCACATCTGGGACATTTTGTGTGTCACTACGCATCCCGTTGTGTTCACTCTGTGTCTCTTTGTGGTCATGCTGCTGACCCACTTTTGTAATTCTAGTTCCATTTTGTTAATTACATTTTTTTCTTTGTTTTTGCACATTTAAATTGTTTGTTTTGTAACGACTTGGTATCTTAGTGGTCATTTTGTGTCACATTGAGTTATTTTGTGTTCGATTTTAGTCATTTTACATTTCTGCTTCTATGATTGATGATGTAATTATTACAATAAATTATTTTGTGCCACATTTCGTCGTTTTGCATCTCTTTGTTTTGTCTCTTTGTGGTCACTTTGCAGTCATGTTGTGTTTCATATTGTTGTGTCTCTGAGTTTATTTTGCGTTTCTTTATGGTCGCTAGTCCAACTTTAATTATTCCGTGTCACATTTTGGCTATTTTGCATCTTTTAGTAGCGTTTCGTTATCTCTGAGGTCATTTTTTTGTCACATTAAGTTACTTATTGTCCCATTTTGGTACTTTTGTGTTTCCTTTAGTTTAATTTTGTCGTCCTTTATGGTCATTTTGCATCTCATTGTGGTTGTTTTGCTTTCTGAATGCCCAGACAGCCCATTCAATAATCTGTCCATGATTTCATCATCAAACACGTGTCATTTTCTTTATCAATATTTAGGTGGACAAACTACGGTGGCCGATGGGGGCAAATGAGGTGCATATACAGTGTTGCATAAACAGAAATACACTGCAAACCGAAAACGCTGCATATACAGACACACAGCACACATGAAAACAAATGCAAAAAGAAAACACTGCACGTCCAGTCACACAGGCCTCTAGGGGCAGTAGTGAGCTGTCACCTAAGAGGCAGACAACAGTGAGTGAGACAAGTAACGTTAGTTGAGGGAAAAGTGGGAAAAAGTTGGCATGGTCATGTCAGAGACAGTGGACATTTTGTTTCCCTAAATGTTTAGGAGTTTTTAAGTCTTTAGCTCAGGGGTGTCGAACTCCGGTCCTCGAGGGCCGCAATCCTGCAAGTTTTAGATGTTTCCCTCTTCCAACACACCTAATTCAAATGATCAGGATCGTTATCAGGCTTCTGCAGAGCTTGATGATGAGCTGATCACTTGAATCAGGTGTGCTGGAAGAGGGAAGCATCTAAAACTTGCAGGATTGCGGCCCTCGAGGCCCGGAGTTCGACACCCCTGCTTTAGCTTTTCAGTCACTGTGATTATATGGGTGCTGAAGTGGTGTTTTACTACCGTCTCCTTGTGTTCTCTCTGTTACTATGTTTATCCATGGAGACAAGAGAATACAAACCTTTTCAGCTTTTGCGTCTGTTTGTGCAGCGCATTCATGTATATGCAGCTCGTTTGTGAAGGTCATTTGCCCCCCGTAGGCCACCGTAACAAACTGCACAAAGCACTGTTTTGTATATACGTACATATGGACATACTTACATCTTCAATGGCAACATCAGTGATATCAGCGTACACAGTGAGCTCATTTATGTCACTGCCTGGTAACACATGCAAAAGTCAAGTAGAACGTTTAATATTTCAGCAAGACATCAGTCATCAATGCAAACAGACAAAAGTAATGCTGCAGAGTTAAAAATAGCACATAATCAACAGTTTCTTACCAGTATGTCTGTCTTTGCAGTGGCAAAGGTACACGATTACACTAATAATAACAATGACAATCAAACAACAGCCTCCAGCCACGCTCAGGATGAGGACAATGTCATTCTCTGCAAAGGATAGTTGTGTGTTAATAAGAGCCCAAGATTAAACGAAAGACACAGATATATATAATAACAGGAGGACATCAACTTCAGCTGTGACAACAAATCCTTGGTCCTGTACTTTTGACTAGTCTGGAGGTAATCATTTGGGGAAAAAAAAAAAAAAAGCCTCATCTACAACCTCATCACAATGACTTACATCCTATTAAACTTGTGTCATAAACCATAAAACCCATCATCAGTCTGACATGATTCAAATGATAGGCATTGCAAAACTGAATAAACATAAGTCACATTTAGCATAAACTTAAAGAAGTCGTCACATAAACTGGACAAACACTTAAAGTTCTCCCTTGTTGTAAAAACATGAGTGTCTCTAATGATTTTCCTCGCATTACCTCGTCCTTTTGATCTGTGAGAAAGCAAATGTACTTTTATCTGGTATTTTCAGAACTGTGTTGATTCTATAGTAAATCTAATTTTAACTAGTTATAGTTTGGAAAGACATGGAAATATATATATATGTGAAATCCATCTTGTGGAAACGTTGATAGAAATACTGAGTCATGTTTCTCAATATTGGGATTGCAATTCAATACTAAAGTACTACAGTCATTTTCTGCATGTACCTCTTTCTTGTGGGAAGGAAGTATCGCTGCTGCATTTAATGGTTCTGGATGCAGACTTCTCACTGACAAAATTGGAAACTGTGCAGGTGAA